ACGTTTATCAAACTTGATAAACCATAAGTACTCTTGAAACAATTGTATAATAAGTTTTCACTTTGGATATAATCCCACAATTACATTAGAAAGCTCACAAGTATGACACTAGAGGAGATATATCTTTCTTAACTTCAACTAAGAGGACGCTATTTTTTAGGTTATTAGTAAATTTCTCATATTCTAAGGATATTTAATAAAATTTTAAACAGTTGAATGAAAAATTTTGCTTAAAACTAATCTTATATTATATTAGTATGTGTTTCAATTATCCCGTTATTGATATTCTTGGCTGAATTTTTACCAGTGGATCCTGTGTGGATTTCCTTTATATTCCCATTGTTCATAAGGTTTATAGAAGAGTTGATTTGTGGCCAACAATCGAATACAGAAAGTGCGCTTCAGTGTAATACAAAGTTTCAGAGTACGCCAAAGTGGCTTAAAATGGGTCATCTTCACGAATAAATTATCAGTCAACTTACATGTGCAATAAACTCGTTTGTAAAAATGTTTCATGAAAACTATTAGGCTTAGTTGCATCATGTAGTTTCTTTACAAGTTACCTTGGAAACCCATATCATTGAGTTGTTTTTGAAAGATCGTATAGTTGGTGAGGATTCTGCGACAAACAGATCACTAACAACTGATATGAAAAAGAAAACCCTCAAACCAGTGATTGTACGAAGCGATAAGAAACGGTCAATATCGGCCGAAAAAAGCTGGTTTACATCGGCATACATTTAGTCCATCAACTACTTTTTCGAGTTTGCCATTAATATGAACTGACAACCCATGTAAGAGAAGCCAACCTAATCCAGAAACCTATACTGCCCAGTCACTTTCTTTTCCTTATATTCTCAAGTAAATCGTTTAAATAATCAAGGTTTACTGTGTTTGAAGAGTTGAAGCAATGAAAATTCAAAAACTCAAATGATCATCTTACTTCAGAAATGAATAAATACATTCATATCTTTAGCAGGGTCTTGATTGACTTTTATTATCAAACAGTTACACGTTTACTGTGCATTTCATAGCACTTCTTCAGTAACCTAATAACTTCGTTTCATTAACAATTAAACTTCATCATCCCACCCAAAACGTTACGATACGATCGCAAGTACGCGCTCAATGTAAACTTTATTCTTCCTGAATGTTTGGTTTAATGAAACGTTTCCAGTCCGATGTGTCTATATTCACACTAGATTTTATTCTTTATATTCTATCGTTTAGAACAAAAAGTGTACATCATTAAACTACAACTTACTGATCAGAAAGTAATGTATTTATTTCAAGATTATAAGTTTCTAGGTTCGATCCCTTTGAGATCATGGGTAGAAAACCCTCAGACGTTCAAAATTAAGACAAAAGCGGATGTTAATACTTCCTAGTTTTCAACTGTCTTCCAGTTGATATCAGCTATGTTGATGTAGTATCAAAAAACTGAAACATATATATATTTCCATAATCAGTTTTTTATAATTATAAGACTATATTGTAAACAAAATTAAATTCTGCTTGCGTTATAGAAAAAAAAGGGGAGTATTTATAATTGTATAAAGTACAAATGTACACTGTATTATTAATAAATGTTTATCTTTTAAAAATTATATAAGCTTTTTTGAAAGTGAGGCAGAATGTATCGTTTGGATATTAGTGTTTTAAACCAAGAATATAAACTCGCTTTAATGGATTGACAGTCAGATTTTAGTAATTATTGTGTATGAGTAATGTACAATTACATTTTAATTTTTTGGGTTATTTTTTTATTTTTCCTCTTCTTTTACTGTAATCACTATGATACATTCAATATCCATCAATAGAAGGCCTTAAACCATCTCATTATCGCTAACCAGACATATGTGTTGTACAGGTCCATAGAAAAGTACGAAACTCCTTATTTGCAGTATCTTATGGGAATCCTTTTTACAATAAACCTGATATGTCACTTATTTAGGGACCGCAAATAAGATGTGATGAGTGTTATAGACACATTCCAGCTCGTATTTTATTATTATTCAGTACACTGATAGGTATATATCTTAATTGTTTCTCTTTGATCCATTTCTGACTGTTATAACTCGATAGTCGTAAAACCCACCAATGTTTACATAATTTACAATTCAACCCTTAATCATCATGTGTACCCTCCATTTTTATTAGTGTATTTATCGTATTTCTATTTAGAATTTCAGCTAGACTTATAAACTAAGTTTTCGTTGTTTTAATAAAATCTTTGTTTTCAAATATCAACCGAAGTTGATTTCTTCCCTATAGAAATCTCTGTAATATAATTTGCAACAGTTTGATTGGACCTGTAAACTGGTATGTTTCATATGACCAACTGCTACTAGAGAACAATCTGATATTCCACTGCCTAGTACTGAAAAACTATTGTGATTCTGTATTTTTAAGTGACTCAGAAGCCCTGGTGGAAGGAATACTTAGAAATACGCGAGAGAAGTGATTGTTGAGACAAAGCATACATAAATCAGGAACGTTAATGAATAACATTACTGATAAATGTATGTATGAAGTAATTTCATGTTATTGATTGATATTTTACCTTTTCTGAAAGTTATTGTTATCAAACATAACAAATCAGCTAGGACTTCTGCATTGAAATTGACAAACTGGGTTGATTTGATTATACATATGAGTATAAAACTAAAACTTACAGTTCTATATGAGAAATAACAAGTAGATTTAGTGGAATCACTTGATACTTTAGAAATACGATTTAAGATCTAGTAATGGCAAGTTACCCCCAAACAAACTATCTTTGTATATTTTGGAAGAGTTTTAATCCAAACATTTCAGGATACTTACAAATTTGTTCGCTAAAAAACATAAGTATCGATAAAGAATATACTTGTCTCAGTGATAACCCGAGCAATTTGGCTGTAGAAATGTGTACAATATGATATAAAATTAAGAGCACGGGCAGGTGGCAAACGCTGAAAGTAATCAAAAATGTAAAAAAAACGGTACAATGCACTAATTTTTGCTGATTTCGACATACTTCAAAACCCCGTTAGTTCGTTGGGTGATCGCTGGTTTGACAGTATCAATTGGTTTCCTTTTATCAACATATTTTTTTAAAGAACTACTTAAGTGCTATCCTAAGCATTCATTTTAAAATCCCTTAATACTGGTTTCTCAAAACAGACAAACAAGGTCATATGAAACCGTTAATACTTCAGTTATAGCATGCATTATTTTAGATTGTTGGTTAAATTTTTTTACATTCTCCTGTACAATACCTAATACAGTTTCACACTGATAAGAGTGTGAGCTAAAGGGAAAGTGAAAAAGGGTGCTTTTAAGAAAGTGGTAAATTAATAAGAGCGGACATTGAAACAGGGAACAATTTTTTTAATGATGTGAAATATATTCGATTCACTTTCTGTTTTAGAAGTCTTTCCTAAAACGCACAATGTGGTTGAGGGATAAGATACAGGATTTAACCGACTTACAAGTATAAAGAAATTGACAAATTTTCTGAAAAATAACAGTCTAAATGGATTGAAAACTGAACACTGTATTGCAGAAACCCAACAACAACAAACAAAAGTATAAGAAGGTAGCGTTATGTACTAAACTGGTTCTAGGAGATAAAGAAAACTGATTGACACGGACCATCTTTGTAAAGAAGCAAATCACTTTTTTATTTTAAAAGAGAGGAACGTTGTAGAATTTAAAACTTATACAAATAGAAATTCACCAAATACTTCCTAGGTATTATCGAAACATCCCTCTAAATCGACTATCCGTTAGCTGTTTGAAATAGACGTAAGAGATAATGTGAATATGGTAATGAGATTACCAATTTGTTACCAAATTCGGACAATTACTGTATGAGTTGAAAAAAGACTCTTCATTAGACTTTATAGAAAACCACTTTTTTTATTTGTCATCACATCATTAAAAATATTATTGTCCCTTTCAATGTCCATCTTTAATAATATGCGCCTTTTTGATAGTTGCTCTTATCAATGTGCCCCTTTTATAAGTGAGCTCTTGTCCACCCGTTCTTTTCGCTTGCGCTTTTCTGAATGAATACGCTTGATGCATCTTTTAAACTCAGTTTGAATTAAGTTTAGAAGAATTTACTTTGTAAAATCGATATGGTCATAAGTTCGATGCTTTGTTGCATAAACCTTCAAATTATTGATTCTTGTCTTTTCGTTTTGAGAATTTCACTGCATGAAGGTGTATGTTAAAACACATGATAGTTGGACACGTAGAAGCAAACAGCTATTTATTACTTAAGTTTCAATTTGCATAATCAGAACATCTATAGTTTATGTACGTCTATCATCTGGAAAAGTATACGTCGTGACAATTCATGTAACTCTATATACACTTTGCCATAAATTTTTGTGGATGTTTAATAAAAAAATACAGTCACTTTAATGACATTTTTAATAGCATTTTACTGTTTACTAACACTTTCAAATGATAGATAACTTTTATGATCATTGGATTGTATCTTTATGCTAGAAGTCATAAATAATTCAAATATTTAAGTAATTGATAACCTCATGACTAAAAAAACTTTCAAACTATTTCCCCTATCTCAACACTATTATTATCTGATAGGTTATATCAAGTAGAAAGAGAATTCCTTATTTCGTGATAATATTTAATGACAAGTGTGAAGTACATAGAAGTTGTTTTTAAGATGTTAATGAATGACTTTAAATGTATAAATCAAATCGTATATTTTCACCTTGCTATCTATGTACATACATGAAGTATGTTTATTGTATTGTAATTGTTGTTCTCTGATCAAACATTATTTATAATTAATATCAAATTGACATTTAGAAGGAGAAAGAATCCTCCTTTTAGTTGAAAGATAAATGGACGTTAAAGTGCTATAATTTAAATTTGATTAATTTTCAAATCCATGGTCACATTGATGAACGCGAAAGTTTTTAGGTGACTAATGAATCCCTAATGCAGATTTCATATCTAGAAAACATTGATTTTGGATTATTTAAAAAATTAAGACATGGTGCGTTACTGATATGACTCTTTTTGAAAACGTTTTTTACTGTTAAAAGAAAAATTCAAGTCAGAAAATTATGTAACTTTATTTATTTCATACACATCGATTATAACAAAACAGCGGCATTGGTTAAAATCTCAGAGAGTGCAGATTAAATTCTATTGGACAAGTCTTAATGTGGCCATTAGTCTCAGTGAAGCGTGAACTGTGTTGGGATATCAGAAATTTGGAGTTAGTTAGTAGAAAAACATGGACTATGGTTGACGTAGGCATAAATACCACAAAGAACATTTGTTCCTTCAAGACTGCAGATACACCTTGATCGATTTATTGGCCTAAATGAAATCTAGGTCTAAAGTTTCCTGTTGACTATTTTAACAAACCGAGATGTTGAGTCACTCCGACTAACAAACATATTTGAGCATAGTCAACACGATTATTTCAAGACAAAGAAGTAAACAGTAAGAAAATAATTAAAATTGAGTGTTCAGCTGATGTAAGAGTGAACTATTTATAACCATTTTTTGTGTTTTAAGTCGATGTTTCTGAACTGTTTGTCAAACCTAATTACTCGAAAGAGGTTTGCTGATCCGGTATACAAACGTAGGCAATCTTATAGTATTGAATTTAAATTCGTCCACTGAAGTACTATTAACTATTGTTTAAACAGAAGTAAAACAAAGTGATTTGCAAGCTGTTAGTTTATTTATCCGAATTACTCCAAGTTATATTTGACACAGTTGAGGTTAAGATAAATTGAGGGTTTATAAGATAATTTATGGTTGTATGTTATTACCAATTTAATATCCTACAATTTTCATCTAATCCATTCCAACTACCTGCAATTGAAAACTCATTTGTAAACTGTGTAGGTAGCTTTTGCCATAAACTATCATCTCCTAGACAGAGGTGTTTTAAGCCAAAAAGTATTTAAAATCTGTTTTATTTTATTTTATGGCTTATGGATATTGTTTGACGTCAATTAAATGTTTTTCATTAGCTTGTTACCAATATATTTATAGATTTGATACTACTGAATAACATTGTTAGTTTTATATAACAAATCGGTAGATTCAATCTCACGATATCTCATCACATATCACTTTTCAACAATGATTGATCATAATACAATTAGCCAAAATTATGCATAAAAGAGCATCAAATATTACCATTATCTTTAAGTGTTAGTTATTTATCATTTTCAACCTATTTCACTGTGATCAATATGTTTGACGACACAATACATTATAGAATGATAACTTAAAGATATCACTACTAAGAAGAAAAGATCACAGAATCAGAACCGTTTTTTTTCAATTTCCATTTCTATAAGTATTGAATAAAAAGATACAACTGTTCTGATTACAAGATGCACTACTCAGAAAGTCGAGTAAGTCATTAAAATTAATAGTTTACTGAAAACAAGCAATAAGCACCCAACTGCGTCACAAGACAAGTCCTCACATGGAATCTTGAAGGCCAAAGGAAAAGAGGAAGACCAGAGAACACATTACGCCGAGAAAGGGAAACAGACTTGAGAAAAATGAACAAAAATTGGATAAAACTAGAACGGAAGGCCCATGACAGATTGCGTTGGAGAATGTTGGTCGGTGGCCTATGTTCCATTGGGAGTAACAAGCGTAAGTACGTAAGAAAACAAGAAATTAATCCGTTTGATAAATTTAATAAGAACATTTAATTCATAAGTTTATGTATTCACAGAAGATTCATGTTTACGAAACATTTTTACACAGTATTTAAACACGTAAATTAAGTCTTGCTTTATCCAAGATATCTTTTTGAATTTTTGGATAATTTGGATAAATGGATAAAACCTGTTTTATATAGAAAAGAAAAAACAAAACAATTTTGTCATTGTTAAAGGGGAATAACTTTAAAAATAAGCTTATTATTATAATAAGAATAACAACAATAAGATTTGGGGTAACAAAAAATACATCTATAACTATAAATATAATAATTTCTACCCCACTTATATAGTGATGCATTTTAATAACGAGTTTACATGCTATTGCTAAGCCATTATCAGTTATTAATAAATTATCTTAGAGATTATCATAATTTGATCACTATTATTTCCCACAAAAAGATATTAGCTAGGAAATCATTGAAAATGAAAGAGTACTAGTCAACTATTTCATCCTGATTCGGAAATTTTCATGAATATTAAACCATGACCCCCTATTAACGATAGAATATATTACTTTGAATCGCTAAATGAAAATCCAATCATATACATATGCGAATACAATTAAATCAAGGTGGTCTAAAGATATGTTTTTTAAGGATCAATTCACTGATTAGTAAACATTAAGTTTTATTACTGAAATTCAACTAGTTACAAGATTATTTCTTATTAATCTTGATTACATTTTGCTTTTATGTCGAATTAGGCAGATGAATAATTCTCTTGAATAAAACAATATTATATAATCATAAATATAGTTGAGAGAACAATTGTTTACAATAACTTCATCATTAAGCTCTACAATTATAAGTCCATTATTATGATATTTTACAGAGGCTAAAATAAGTCATGAATTAATGAATTTGACAATGTTATGTGTTAAAAAATGGCGAATCACTGCATCTGTTACGATATAAATACTTTAAAATTATGTTATTTGAAAATTAGAAGGGTCATGTAATAAAGATTAGAATGATTTGTAGTAAAGTGTGTATACCACTTCAACCGCTCCTGTGGAGTCCGTTACACAGGTCGTACTCATAGGGCTTTTTCCTTGGATGTTCGTAAACGTGTACCATCACCGTTGGGAAAAGGAGTAACTAAATCGATTAGAAATACTGTTCTTTCTCACTTGACAGATAGTGAACATTATATTAAGTGAATCTTTCTCTGTTTTATATCACGTTCCAAAGAATATACCTAAAGGAACTAGAATACGGCTACTCCACATATCTGAAGCTGTCGGGATTAACTCCAGGAGAGGTATATCCGGCCTCTATGTTTACCGGTGCCCACGACTAGATCACCGGATACCTCAAATGGATATTATAAATCTCTCATTCCCCATCTTAGTTCTTTTTGTGTTTATGCCTCTTTTATTCTTCACATTCATCTTTCCCGATTCTTATGAATTCTTTATTATTGTAACAAACTTGATAACACCCCTCTTATTACATATCATATTCACACAACGACATTACAATTACTATTGTCATCACTGTTATTATTATTACTACCTCGATTAACAAGACGAAATTCTCCTACTATGCATTTATACACAGGATCTTTTTATTTTGTTATATTACTATTATGTTGGTTATGACTTGACACTTTACTACAGATCATTCCAACCTTTATTACATAACCCGTCTAATTTACGAATAATATAATTTTAAAGTATTTATATCATAAATGGTGCAAACATTCACCATTTTTAACATATAACATTGTCAAATTCATTAATTCATGACTTATTTTAGCCTTTGTAAAATATCATAATAATGGACTTATCATTGTAGAGCCTATTTATTTATTTAATCACATACATATTGGTACAAAGGGCACCGGATACATATGAACCACACTTTTGTGTGAGGGCTGTGATACTGTCCGGGTGCCCAAACCGAAGCAGGTGGTTTTCTTTGGGGGGCCACATCCCGAGCTTTTGACCTTGAGGTCTAACCCACAAGGCAGTGGAGCATCGTAAGGAGATGCAGTCCCATGGTAGCTGTTGACCAACGATTGATTCATACGTCATTTGTTCCTTCAGGATACTGAAGCCCATATGCACCATTGGTCTGGAATCAGGGTTTTCAACTCCTTTAGGTGGACACTCCACATCCACCAACCCGGTTAAAGCGCCGGACATTCGCTCTTCGTCCTCTCAATTTCGTAAACAACACCCCCGCCACGAGAAGGCAGTGAGTAGGACTTCCCTGACAGAGGCTATATACACGTGGCCATGTGAGCGCACTTCGAGAGGGAGAGCGGATTCTCCTCACATACTAGGGAATTCGGGGGCTTCACGATGAAGTTATTGTAAACAATTGTTCACTCAAATATTACATAACACAAAGACATTTGTCGAATATTAAATTGTTTAACCTACTTGTAGGGAAACTTCAATTGCTCCTAAATAATTTTTACTTTTTAAATAATTGTATGCCAGTTTATAACCTGTATAATGAAAAATAGGTAGAAATCAGAGAAACATTGTACGTTCTATATATATCTAAATGATATTTTATAGATATTAATATGAAATAGTCTTGACATGTAATTTATTTGTTGAACAGCAGGAAAAAAACTTAATTAACTGATAACTGATATCATATTCTGTCATTAGACAAAATTAATTTGATAGGAAAATAATAAACTTGATGGAAACCAATAAATAGGTGATTCAGCTTTATTAGTAATGAGTGCCCATAACCGTCTATTGGTTTTCTGTGATTTTGTAACTGGGATTGGTTCATATTCAAAGTATATGGACCGCTAGTGAAAGAGAAAACATTTCATGATACTTATCAATATTAACATAACCATCCAGCATTAACTTCATCGTAACAAATAAATATATATATTATTGTAAAAAGCTTTGTGAAAGCTGAGTTCAAATACGTCCTATGATTTAAGTATTAAAAACATGTACCCTGTAATTAATTTACATACATTTTCAGTATATTTGGTATGTAGCTAGTAACAGAATTCACGACTCTCATTTATCAATGTTTTGGATTGATTAGCTGGATCAGCTAAAGATTTGTAGTCCTGAACATCAACAACGGTCAATTATAAACTTTGATTAGTCAATAGACATATAATTTTCATAGTTGGAAGCGTGAGTCAATTAAAGCTAGACCACCAGGAAAAATCTGGAAGCACAACAAACCCCTTCTGATAATAATAATCATATACTTACTAGTGACTGACTTCGAGAGCTAAATGCTGCAGTTTTAGTGAGAAGCAGTGACCAGTGGAGTTCAAACCACGTTTGTTGTGAGATAAGAACTCACTGAAGACAATTGGTGAACGTTTGCTGAATTTCATGGATTGGTTGAAGTTAGACATTAACACCGTTGGATGCCGGCTAGCTCAGTGGTCTATCGGTTAAGTGCTCTGGCGCGAGACTGGTAGGTCCTGGGTTCGAGTCCCGTGAGGCGAGGTCGCGAATGCGCACTGCTGAGGCGTCACACAATAGGACGAAACAGCCGTCCAGTGCTTCCAGGTTTTCCTTGGTGGTCTAGCTTCCATTGACATACGCTTTCAACTATGAAAATACGAAATCTCCACAAAATCTCTACTGATAAGACATACAATTATTTTCTTTAATATTTCCAAACTTCTCATTTTATTTATCACAACTTAATAGTGATGTCTAACTAGTAAGATCAAAGAACTAAACTATTTTATGCTACAATTATCATTCCAAAAATAATATCCCACATAAGATCTTTTAAATTCTAAATGCGGATCAATATTTTTTGCGAATTATATTAGCCATTAGTAATGAACTTTGTTGCACAATTATTACCATTCATATGCATTATCCAGAACTTGAATATTTATAGTATAACAATAAATATCATACAAAAGAATAGCTTTTTCATCATCATCATCATCATCATCGTCCTCATTATAGAGCATCCATTCACATTTGCTAAGTGTCGTGCTTGTTTATTATTATTTTTTCATTATATCCAGCAATATATGTAAATATAGTGAAAAATAATTATAAAAACATAAATATGACCTAACTGAAATACATACAAACAAATATAACCACTCAATATGTAATATCCCTAAGTCATTATTACAAGCATAATGGTAAAGTTAATTTTTTGCTGATAAATTTTCATTTAACAAAGAAAAAACGGGAAAGTATAAAAGTGAAGTGGATAAAAAAGCCACCCCCAGCCATTTTAAACTAATTAGAAATATGTATGAATTTCAAATAGTTTTTATAGAAAAAAGTAGTAATAATAATAACGAAGTTGATGCAATCCAAAAGGATTCAAAACAATATTTGGAATTTTCAACAACAATGAATAACAATCTGATAAAAGTCTACATTCATGAAGAATACACTCGAAAAAGAAAGACAAAAAAAGAAAAGAAAATAGTCAACTAAGGAATCATTAATCAAAATAATTAGTTAGATAGGATAACAATCTATTCGATTGATATATATTTGTCAATAATTAAATAATTGTATATAAAATATGTAAAAATACCATGTAATATCTCAGCATATATTTTGAAAAAAGAAAAAAAATTGAAAAATTAAATACCAGAGGAAATTTAAATCTAAAGTAACTTAGTTCTTGGAAAGAAAACTTAAAAAGGTAAGATTATTCCGTATGGAACTAATTTATATATTATTAAATGTTATTGTATTATAGTTCATGTTATATTGATGTCTTTAATTGATTGCATTTTGGCAACTCTTTACATATTCTTTTATTAACCTACGTAGTAACTGTGAAAATATAAATATAGTCTTATTTGTCACTGGTATTTTATAGCCAGGAATTATTTATAATTTAATCTGACTATATATGTTATAGTGAAAATTCTCATTTTATCATTTGGCAAATAAAAAGGAACGAATTGAGCGAAGAAAGTTCTTTTCAATTAACTTTTCATCATGGCTCTACTCTACATCTGTGTGTATTTACCAATTCAACTGCTCCTGTAGAGCCAGTTACATAGGGCGTACAATTCGGCAAGTTCGTCAACGAATAACAGAACACCATCCGTCGTGGTTGAACGAAGGACAAGTAAAAGTGATTAGGAGTTCTATTCTCGCTCACTTAGTGGACACAGGTCATCAAGTTGAGCAGTTATCTACCATATTCCATCAAATTTGCCGCATGGTTTACGAGTTCGTCTTTTGTACATAGCTGAGGCCATCGCAATTCATCTTCAAAAGCCGAACCTTTGTATCCAAAAGAAGTTTGTACAACCACTCTCGCTAACCTCGCCATCGGAATAGCGGAGTTTGTAGCACAACTTTGGTAAACAATTATCGTATTCCTTCCATTTTTGTATTTTTTTTTTTTTACTTATTCTCTACATTCGTCTCTTGATTCTTACATAACTACTATGTTACTGACCATTCATCAGAATATTTTGTTAGTTCTTTCTTCTCCTTTCACATATTATGCAAAGCAGCAACAGCTTGATTTTCGAATAATTATTAATCCTCTTTCTTCCAACTAATAATCGATATGTCATTATATAATTGTTACGTAACGTATCTACTCTATGAGTGTTATTCCTTTATTGTGAATCATATAAATATTAGTGTAGAGCCATGATGAAAAACTAATTGAAAAGAAATTTCTTCGCTCGATTCGTTCCTTTTTATATCTGTTATTCCTTCTGAAAAATAAGATTTCTACTGTAAAAAAAACGTATTCAAAGCATTTTATTCCGTTTGACTCATGAAATTCCTTTATCAGAATTTTCGTTTCGCTTACTTGATAACACATATTGCGAGATAACTTATCCTTAATGTTCATTTAATTTAATAAATATACTGTTAATTCATCTACAAAGATATTGTATAAATGCAAAGATTTGTTTTCATAATGTATGAGTTTGAAGATCTATAGATAGTTTCTTTTGAAAGTTAAGTACAACTGTTTTATTCTTCTTCATCAAAAACAAACATAATACATACTGAACAGATTATTAAAGACTCTTTTAAATGATAATCAACTAATTTTTGCCATTTTGAATACTGTAATAATAATCTTCAATCATTGGATTATCCTAAATCTCTTATGCACAATGGTTACTGTTTAAAAGATTCTTTGACTGATATCAGCCACTGTTGAAAACAATAATTTTTAAAGTTTATATTGTTAGATTTCTCTTACCAATTACAGGGCTTTGATGATTTGAATTGTTCCAAACATATTCATAATATTTTGCAGCTTCAGAGAAATTTTGTTCTTTTTCCATAATTAAACCGAAATATTCATAAGCTTTATAGCTTGACTAGAATTATGAATTAGAAATATATGAAATATTTATTATCAACAAAACTGAAATAACTTCTTGATGAAATCTTTTAGTTCATTTTAAGTATTGAGAATAATAACAGAACTAAATGATCTAAAGTTAATATATTCTTGATTTTCCATTATGAGATCATATATTTGTTGAAACAAAGCCGTAAGTTCAATGAAAATCTTGTTCAGTAGTCAATTTAATGAATATATCATATTTATACTATTTAGTAAGACAATGTAACGTCTTACCTCCATAAAACAATTTAGTTTCATCACTTAGGCAATCATATGCAGTTAAATATCTTCAGTAATTCCATTGCCTAATGCATATTTTAAAATAACAACCTCTATCTGAAGGTCACAAAAACAATATCAGTATTTTTATGGTTTATCTAAAAAAAGAATACATCTAAATTAAATATGTATGGAATATACAATAATATTACATCACAATGCATTTTTTTGCAGCTTTTCATTGAAAGCAAACCTATTTTATCTATAACATTTATTTTAATTACAAATTAACTGAATATCAACATAAATGGGCGTCTAACAAATGGTTGTTCAACTGGAAGATATAAAATTGTAAGTAGACAGTAAAGAAATGGAGACATGAATCCTTTTGAACTCTTGTCTGAAAGGGTGTTTAGAATTTTAGTAAACGAGTTAAATTGTTTTTTGAAAAAAGGTATTTCTTTTTAAAGGTTTATTTATAGAAAGTAATTTGTATTCTTTCTAATTTAACAAATGCAAAAAAAAATCTCGTAGGTTGTAGACGAGTTTACGCGTATTATATATTTTCTTATGTGAATTAGGCTTTGCTATGATCGAAATGATTGCTCCCAATACTTTATGTAATGATATAATTATTAATCCAAGAGAATTATGATTTATGCCAATTCCCATGAGTATAGAGTGTGATGCTTTTTTTCAAATTATAGAATTAATTAAAAGTTCGACACAAAAATAATCAAGACATTTTAATGGTCGCTGTTACGTTTATTTCTCATGTGAGTGGAATTTCAAGTTCTTTTGAAAAAATAGTAATCTGTTGGGTATAAACGTATATCCCTTAGGTCATTCATGTAAAGATTTATTTGTTAAATTAATATCCAATGACTACGATTGGACAGAATTTACATAGTACCTTCCATAATAGCATTAATAACAAACACTTTTATGATCAAGATATCATCATATTAGGTCACCGAATATAGCTTTCTTCGTACATAAATTGACATTGTAGATCACTTCGACAACTAGCGCGGCTCTGAAACAACAGAACCTGGAAGCGTGAGTTTCAGGAGTGCAATAGTCTACTTTCAACCATCGGTTATTGTTATTTTGTGTATAAATAGCTCAGAAAATGGAATACTGATGGCGCGATAATAATTACTCATACTTATCAGCTCTCACGTAAAAATAAGAATTCCTTTTTGGGCCATTTCACTAGATCAAGTTGCTGAATACACATGAAGAACGGTTGGTAAATTCATTTTTACTGGGTTTATTGTTTTACAATTAGCTAACATTATCAGCCATTTAATCAACATGATCAAAGAAATACACTCTGATGAAAATGTAAACATAACTTCTTAGACAATGGAAATGCTCTTGGAAATAATGTGCTCCCAATAGATAATTATTAATAAGATGATGAATAATTTGTTTTATGATACTTTATATAATGTTTTACAGACCAAATTATAATTTTAATGAAAACAAATATTAGGTCACAGAATATGGATTTTTTTCATACATAAATTGACATTGTAGATCACTTCGACAACTAGCTTGGCTACGAAACAACAGACCCTGAAAACATGGGTTTCAGGATTTTATTAGCCTACTTTCAACAAGAGGGTCTCAGATCAAAGCGGTATTCTACTGAATTGATTTAAGGAGCTGAATAATATCATTAGCCTCGAAGCTAAGTACGCAAATGTGCAGTTGATAGATAAATTACATTGAATAACGAATTGGCTATTTAAATACATAAATTAAAACTGGGTTTCCCTAACCTCATGCTGTGATACGATATTTGTGTATAAAACAGATACATTTACCTAATATAATTAGTAAACCTTGTTAAAAAATGTTATTTTTCATGGTACTTATTTCAGAAGAACAAAGAGTGATACTACATTTTACAACGACGACACACATCGGGATAAACTCAATGATGGATTGTAATGTTTTAAACCTCAACGAATAATATCCAGTTTTGTTTTTAGGTCTAGGCTTTTATGACAAAACCGCATTTTACAGCAACCATTATTTAAGGTCTGTCCAAAAAGAATCTAGTCACTGCGTTCTAATATCATAGAATGTTATTTAGAATAATTTAGGGATTACGGTGTCAATTACATCGTCATAGTCAAAATTTAAAGCTGCTACTGTAAGATAATCATGATATTATCTAGAAAAGAAAATTAAATTGTTAAATATATATGAAAGATATTAATCGTTACAAATCTGGAAACATCTATAGGATACGTTAACAACAGAAAAAGGATAATAAATTTGATATTTATGTTCCTAAAAACTGACTTATAAAACATAAAACCTAGATTTCGGAAATATTAAATCGCGCGACTTCGTGGATTGATTGGAGTTAGACATTGACAACTTTGGATGCCGTCTCAGGAGTCCAGAGGTTAGGGGTTTTGCGTGAGAGCAGATATGTTGGTTTCAAATCTAGCGTGCAGGATCATAGATGCGCACTACTGGGGAGCCCCATATTAGTACGAAAAGGCCATCCAATACTTCAAATTTTTCAGTGGTGGTCTAATATGGATCGGTTCATGATTTAAAGAAAATCTCGAAATAATAGTAGAAATGCTTATATATTACTAATTTTTTTAAAAACATGATATATCTGTTGCATAATGACATTAAAATCCAGAAATGATTTTTTGATGAAATTCTGATAGGAAATACGTTTTTTAAAATATGATCATTGAGCATTAGAAACAAAACCTAAATAATTACTCAGTTAATGTCACAGGGTACCAATTACGTATATTTAAGATTCGCTAATACTCAACAGCAGACAAGCAATAAAATATTCAGCGATTGGAGTTCCGTAATACACCGATTACCAGAATAATTAGGTGACTTATTTTTCGTCATTCATGGTTAGATCACATGCAGTATATGTACCACCATACATACACATACATAACATACTCAAGGTTACACTGGTTAAATGACATGGGTAAAGATCTGAGTGACAGAGTAACTGGAAAGATTATAATAATCAATTTGCCCAAAAGTTAGAATAAATCATATGTGGATGTAACAATAATAAAAGTTATAGGCTTACTAAGGTCAGTTTTTGATATAAAACATGTCAGTATTTTTATGATGACATACCGTAGACTGATCACGTAACCGCTTTTTTTACTCTGCTCTTGCATTAACAGTATGGAACCCACTGAAACAACATGAAACACTAAACTTATGCTATTTTTTTAAAACGATAACTGGGAACAGTTAAACAGTATAACACAATCATCTTATATTCATTACCTCCAGTCACAATAATTCTCTTACCTTATTATACTTGAGACATTTTTTTAATAGCTCCTGGCAAACTTCAAGTTTACCACTTTGTATATACATATCAACCAAAAGTAACCATGATTTCTCTAATTCTTCAGCATCCTAACAAAATATTAAAGTTTAAAACAAAGACATTAAAATAGTTCAACAATATTAACAGTAGTAATTGATGTTTTGAAAGCTGCCATACTATACAATAAATGATAACAATATCAATGAGAATTTTAATACGTAAGTTCTATTTGTAAAATTGACGGATCAGCAACTTATAAGTGTAAAATTCATAAACACGGGTTGAGGTAAAAACGTTTTATTATATGAAGGTAAAGATCGGTAAATTGTACACATTATGCTTTCCGACATTATAAAAATCTTTATCTTTTAACTACTGACTGCCATTAAATATTAATAATTAGTTTGTCGATTTCATTGGAAAACCTTATAGTCGCAAGTCATTAGAATGTGTAGTACGCAAACTGTACCACTTGGTACCTAATATACAATGGTGAACTGTTACATGAAAAGGTTGTAAGTAAGCAGTCACTAGGCCAAGTCAAAGAATAACGTCAGCCACTGGAGACAACAACGTTTTTTCCAATATTCAATGTAAATGAATTATAATTTATCTTGATGAAAGCTCCGTTGATTCTTAATAGTTAAAAAATGTATGTTACTTTGTTTGTGCTAGATATAACACGTGCATTGGCTTTTAGGCTCTGTTTAAGGAATGCAAATTATGTTAGAAATAGTACCATGAACAGAGTATTAGTTAATTGTTTACAATATATAAGAATTATTTTAAGAAGGAATTTCAGCAATTCATTTTAACTAGTGAGATTTAATTTTATTCAGACTGTTAAAAACATTTCGAGTGTAAAATATACTGTATATCACATAAGAGATGAGATTTGTAAATTTTTTGTATCCTAGAAGGCAACATAATGAATATCTTGTTTACTTTAGTCGCTTCTTGTATTATTGTGTTATTAATTTAAAAAAACTGAGTAGTGTATAATATTAAATGTTATTCATTGATCGTATGAAATACCATTCGTTTGACTCTTTGTATTGAATTAATTACAGAACCTTTAAGCTATGTATTTTAAAATTCATTATTTATTAATTTTACTGATGTAGTACAATATTACTTGTTTTGACGAATATGTGGATTTATAAATTTATTCATAACATTTAGAAGGGCATTTTGTGGAGATTTGAGTTGAAATCATCAGTCAACTGAAGCTAGACTACCATGGAAAACCTGGAAGAAGTAGACGGCCGTTTCGTCCTATTGTGGTACTCCTCAGCAGTGTGCATCCACGAGATTCCAACCGAGAACCTATCAGTCTCGCGCGCGAGCGCTTAACCACTAGATCACTGAGCTAGCCGGTATCCAACAGTGTTATTGTCAAAATTCAACCAATCCACGAAGTTGAGCAACCATTCACCAATGTCTTCAGTGAGCTGATATCTCCCAACAGACCTGGTTGAACTCCACTGGTTACTGCTTCTTACTAGAACTCCAGGAAATACCTCATGGAGCCAGTCACTAGTGAGTATATGATCATTATCGGAAGGGGGTTTTGTGGAGATTTTAATTTTATATAGTTTATATAGGTTTTCCGTGGTGGTCTAGCTTCAAGTGACTCATGATTTTAATCATAACATTTAGATTTATATTTTGTACCCATAACGAAGGGATTGTGAACATGAATCAGCGTATTGTTCTAGTTTCGACGGTGGCAACTTTTGATACCATTTGTAACTAACGTTTTACATAACCGATTGATTTTAATTGGACAACCGCTGGAAACTAAAAAGAACTGAATAGCTATTTTATCCTAGTATGAGGTATCTCAGAACCGTACATCCGTAACCGTATCAGGGATGGAATTAAGGACTTTCAAGCCTCAAGTCAAGTCCTAAATCTATAGGTCACTAAGTTGGTATCTAATGGTTTATATTTGTAAACTTTGTTTAGTCAAACTGAAAAAGCACCATAATGCCTTGTAGTATATTTTGAAATGTCAAAATTCAGGATACTATTTGTAAACATACGGTATTTCATGAACCTTTTAAAGAGCATTATCACTTTGTATACTCAGTAATATGTCGAATATATTCATACGAAATTCAATTCATAACTTTAGTATAAACCAGTAGATACCTTTTTACATAATTTGCTATTATAATTTGACGAAGATGTCAAATTGAGCATCACTTGTATCAGTAAATTTCAGGTACAAGTCGGTAGATAGCTATTTTTAGCTATCAAACAATGAAGTATGCTTAGTTATAACCTGGATGCAAAAACGAGTAAAGTGGCCATTGTTTTTTTTTAAAAACTAAAGGCTCCAAAACAAACAATTCTAAACAAAAGTTTGTGAACTTCAACTATGATGAATTTAGAAATTAAATGAATGGTTGATTGGAAAATTTTCATTTTGTTGAAGTCATTAAACAATCATTCCTTGTTACATGATATTCCAATTAACTAGTACTAATAAGGTTATTAAATATAAATATTTTTAGTACCGTTATTAACTTATAATAGTTTTAACTAAACATGATGATAAAAGGAATCTCTATTTTATTCAATTTTGAATATAACAGTAAAACTGAACAAAGATGAACAACTGAAACTGTATTTTTCGCTAAACATCATACTTTTTTCTCTTTCATGAAGAGAGGTGGTATCAACAATAATCAGAGTTCACACTAACGATATCTGTAACATGTTAGTTCAATTCATTTTATATCTATAATTATTTTGTCACTACTACAATCGAAATAAGAATAAATTCATTTATTATTGTTTGTTTGAATTTTCCAATTGATGCTTAGAACTGCAAATGGTCAGTCTCTAATTAGCATATGTGCGTTCTGTGCGTATTGCCTCGATATAGCCTAAATTCACAAACATTGTAAGCAAAGATGGATAGTGGTTAGCAGTCCTGAGTCCAGGACTCAGTGGCCGATTGAATAACGCGATGGCGTTTGAAGTAATAGGTACTGGGTTGGAGTCCCAGAGTGAACATCAGCTATTCCTAAATGCAGGTACATCCAGCTGACGAGTCCCAAATAGGACAAAACGCGCGTTCAACTAAATTTCACTGCTAGCCACTCTCCATCTTTGCAAAATAAGAATAGTTTATAGAAATGTTATACAAGTGGAATGCAATAATAATAGTCATAATGTTATTTTGATTAATACATTGGATTACAATAAAATATGAAAGCTGGATAGTAGCAAACAAAAAGAAATTGTATTAGTATGGTGAAAAGTTTACATTTTCATACAAATACAATGTATATATATATATATATATATATATGATATATATGATATATATATGATTATACATGTAACCTTTTTACTTCTTAAAGTATGTAAACAATATTCTATAGAAATGGAATGAATAGTAACCGAATTTCTTCTTTATTAAATCTAAATCATTAAATGTTCAACGTTTTGTACAATGTTCAAGGAGTTATTTATTTGTTTTACGTAACTTTTTTCCTTTCTTTTTGGTTGGTAAGCTTAGAAGTAATAGAAAGTTTTACCTTAACAAATAGAAAATATACATTACCATAGAAACTTATATGTGTACAAATGAATTTGATATAAGAGAAATGTTTTTTATTTTACTAATAAATACTTCAGTAGTTGTTAAAAAATTTTTGAAAGGGAAGAAAAAATTCTATGAAAATATTCAAAGTTAATGAAATACAGGTTATGAAAGCAAGTAATTATCACAAAGTGATATCGAATAATACATCATAGAAAATTCGGAAGAGAGTAGATAGATGTTCTATTACTCTAACAACTAGTACTCACATACTATATAAAAGACCAAACAAAAAACCTTTTGCTTTCATAGTAAGGACGACTTAGTGGTACACATTGGAAGCTTCATGTATATGTGACAAACACATATAGTCAGGTAGAATATTAATCCAAAGGGATTATTATCAAGTTCGTTTGATTGAATTTATTTTTACATCAATGAAACATCACTGAATTAAGTTAATTTTAGTGAATGAATTTACGTGGAGATCTAATATTATCATTTTATCTCTAATATTTTTAAAATGTCAGATATATACGGTGAAACAAGGTGATTATTTTGCACACCGTTTTATTCTCATTGAAGGAACTGATTATCAGCTTATGAATGTTTCTTCGTTGTAGTTATTACGATATGTGTAAGTTAGAAAGACCTAGTCAGTTAGAGTTTCTCAAAATGAATAGATGACAAATAAGTTAACTCACGTCTTACGATTTGCAATGTTTTGATAGAACAACCATAATGGTAATGATATCATATATATTCAACATTAATTTCAAAACATGATTAAAATCAGAAATCTACTGTCATACAAGGCTAACAGTTTTCAAAATACAGAGGTAGTAATCATATTTAATCAGCGACACTATGTATTATATTGTTCAGCCGAAAATGAAAGCTCTAATTTACAACTTAATGATCCATTCATCAAACGGTTCTAGGTTAAGAGTGTCATAACGACAAACAGCCATGTTTAAGACATATTTTCAGGCTATTTTTATCTCTCTACAAAATATCCTTAACCACAACTAGAATAATAGTTTCTGAACAATTATTTCTATTATTAGTAACGACTATAGATGATACTCGTTTATTCAAATTGAAAGATTTTATATCATTAGCAATCAAAAATTTAAAAGAATAAGTCTTTTTCCAAATTTACTTTTCATATAACCTGAACAAGTACTTAGATCGAGATTTTGTCCTTAATACTGAATGTTAATGCTAGACAGATGTCCAGCATTCTTTAATTTTCAATAACTGTCCAATTTTATTTACGTTGCAGTGTAAACTAGATTTATTATTCAATGTCTTTGTAAAGATTCACTAATTATCAGATCTAATCATTGTAAAACTTGATCATGGTCTAAATATATGATCCAAAGATATCATCATTTAGTTAAATTATTAATCTGAAAGTTTTATACGGTTTTCATTAGTTCATGTTACGTTATTTAATTTACATTTATATTAACGCTAATAAAACTATTGAAAGTATGATTAATCATTTTTCATTTGAATTCGAACAGTTTTGAAAAATTGTGCAAAACAAATTTATATAATAAATAATTAAAATAGAATTTTACTTGAAAATTCCAAGATACTTTTGCTAATCGCTTCAATTGATTTCTGGCTTTCTGACTTTGTTTTAATTGTATATAACAAACAGCTGCACCATAAATAGGTGCTACACTATCTGGCTAAAACGAATAAATAAATAAAAAAAATTATAAGATTATTAAATAATTCAAATCTTGAAGTTTCAATTTGATTTACGACAAATCATGTCTAATAATATAGGGGCAATAGACTTTATAAGCCGAGATGGATGATGACTAGCAGTAAAATCCAGGACGCCTATCTTGTTATATTTGGGGCTCGTCAGCCGGATGTACCTGCATCCCAGAGTCGATTTTCACTCCAGGACTCGAACCCAGTATCGTTTGCTTCAAACTCCATCGCGTTTTCCACTTAGCTACTGAGTGTAGATAGCCACTAGCTTATGCAATGGAGTAAAGTTTTAATTCAGTTTTGTATTGTTCGTTTGGTATAAAGATACTAGATTTAAATCTACTGTAATCTTACTAACTGGAAAAGTCCTTATCAATTCTAAAGCCCTACAGTAGTAGACAGTGAAATACTTCTAATAAAATAAAGTATTCTATTAGATGTAATATTAAAGTTCAATAATCGATCTCCTGAACAATCACAACATAAACTCTACAAAATGACTGATCCAGCTATTAGTTAGAGACGGAAAAAACCAAAATTCAAGGTTACATTTAGCCAAGAAAGATTTTTTTATATTTAGAAATCATTTTTAAACATATCCACAAGTAAGATTATTATATATCATTTATTTTATATGTAAATTTGAAATTTACGTTTTCACTCGCTTTCGTATACACTTCACTGATAACGACCAAAATATCATACGTTTTTTCGTTATATTTCTTTCGGTGTACTCTTGAAGGTTCATAATATATAGTGTTTTATTTTTATCCCAAAAGAATATTTCACCTTTTTGATAATACCAAGCTTTCCCATAAATACCTGGGTTTTTTTTCAAGGCTTAAAGTTTAGTCAAATGGTTATTCAATGTGTCACTGAAAAGTTTCTAATGGTTGTTTTAAAAAGTTTGTTATAGTTCTACCATTTGTAAACGATATTGATATTTATAGAAAAACGTATGTTCTCATGTTGATCTCAAAGTCAGAACATTAAAAACAGTAAAGGTGAATCAAGTATTGTTCGATTAAGTACTGTCAAATGTATTTCAACTATGTTAAAATGTTTTAGAAATAATTGATAAAATAGTTAAACAATAAGAAAAGGTTCATTGATATTCTTATACTGGTTTCATTTGAATATTAATAATCAAGATGATAGCTACAAATTCAAATTATATTTTAAAAAGTAAATACATTGGACTGTAATAGAAAGTATAAAGTTAATATTTAAGCATATAAACAACTTGATAAATGGTTAGAACGAATAGCTTGACAAAAATTGGGCGCCGAGTATAGGGAAGTCATTATATATGAACAATTATATTCGAAATAGTCTCAGCGATTGAAATTTAAATAATTCCAACGTTTCGTCCAGCTAACTTATTTCCCTGAAGAAGTCCAGACAAGTTATCCGGACGAAACGTTGGAATCATTTAAATTTCAATCGTTGAGACTATTTCAAATATAATTGTTCACATATAATAACTTGATAAATGGATTACTTTTTTATTGAAACATTATAGAAATATGAGGTTTCGCATAGTTTTTTTTAATTTGGATACTTTACACTTAATTATCTAAAGGAGTTCTTGTGGATATTATGGTAATTTTTAATAGTTCAGATCATTAGTCAATTGAAGTCGTCCAGTGCTTCCAAGTTTTCCATGGTGGTTTGACTTCAATTGAATCATAATCTCAACTATTAAAAATTACTTAATTTTCTGTTCAGAATATTAAGTTGGACATAGATAACTACACAATAGAATGTAGACATTTTTGATAGATGAATTTTAGTGAATATGATTCAGAACATACTGTACTGGATTCATTTGTTTATCTCTATATATTAGGTATATCAATAATTTAATTAAATGTAAACTCGTTTAACTATCAATTATTTCTCCAATGTTTTCATTCTGTAAATCCTGAACAGCTACAACCAGTGCATATAAAAGATTCTTTTGTTTATATCAGTAGAATTTCATAGTTTATACTATGGGAAAACCAAAGTTAGGTGACTATTGAAAACCGGAAATAATTGGACGACTGTTTCATCGTGTTACGGAACATTTTAGTATTGGCTCTTCACAACCTTATCACGGTGGATTGAACCTAGGACTTTGAGACTTCACTCCATGCGCTTAACATTTAAATCATTAAAACAACTTCCATCCAGTTATTTAAATTTCTCACTACAATCGATTCGCGATGTTGCACAATCATGCTCCAATGCCTTTGGCAAGTAACTGTCTTACATCAGACATGGTTAGAATAAACAAGCCTTAGTCCCCCACCATAATTCCGAGAATCTCTTATGGAAACTAGTCACCAGTAAGTATAAGAGGTTTGTAGATTTACCAGTGGAATTTAATAAATGAAACGAGTCACTTGACATAAAATTTATGTCGTACAATTTGTTTTAATGTCAATAGGTAACTTAAAGCAATCCCTAAAATTTTGAACAGTGATACAACAACCTCAAATTGCAAAAAGATCAATAAATTATTAAACTACAATTTGAAAGTAAATCAATTCAAGGAATATTCCAAATATCAGAGAGGTATCTCAATAAAAAAAAATAGCACCAAATGTCGTCTGAAAACATAAAGTGAATGTAATGTATTGTACATTGTTTAATTTATCACTTTTCTGTTCAAAATATCTTACATCTTTATGTGACATTTCAGCAAATGTTTCTAAAGCAGATTCTAAATGTGCTTTCGTTTTTGTTGTTGATAGTAGTAATGTTGAAATAAAACGATATCGTCTCTTAAATTTAATCACTTTCAGTTCCTACAAGCAAACGTAGAATGAAAACAAAATGAAAATGAAATAAAACGTACTAGAAACCGTAGCAAAAAACTGAAACTGAAAAATATAATCAGAATGGGGATTTATGGAGATAATAGTAATTTTAGCAGTTTAGTTTCAATAGTCGATCTAAATTGGACCACAATTGAAAACCTGGAAGTACTGAACACCCATCTCATCCTGGTATGGGACTCCTTAGCAGTGCGCATCCATCATTTCGCACATGGGACTCGAACGCAGAACCCCAGGTCTTGCGCGCAAAGTCTTAACATCTAGACTACTGAGCAGGAACCCTACTTCAATGGATCCGCAACCCTAGTCTAAAGGCTAAGCCTTCGTGCGCGAGACCTGGAGTTCTGGGTTCGAGTCCCATGTGCGAAATGATGAATGCGCACTGCTAAAGAGTCCCATACTAGGATGAGATAGCCGTTTAGTGTTTCCAGGTTTTCAGTGGTGATCCAGCTTAAATGGAATCATCAAATCAACTGCTAAAATATTCTCATACTTCAGATTAATTTAAACAGTTTTAAAAAACTCAATTTGACCATAATCTATTAGTTCTACCTCAAATATTTAATTTTTGTTTATTAAGTAGGACTATTCATTGTTTGTCACTTCATGATCAGTCCTTTACTTACATTTAGAACAAGCATTGCATTTTCTTGTTAGTCATTGTCTCTCATGTTCATCGTATATATAACAATTGCTCAGCCCATATAGCTCACTGGTACTCTTGGTAAAGAAACCGAATGGGAAATATAGATTTTGTGTTGATTTTAGAGAACTGAATAATATAACAGAACTAAAGCCGTGTGCAATGCCAACAGTAGTGGAAACATTAGATCGGCTGCAGAATGCCACGGTGTTTACAGTGTTGGATTTGCGGTCAGGTTATTGGTAACTGCCTATAAAAGAGAGCGATCGAAGCAAGACAGCATTCACCATACGTGATAAACAATATCAATTTAGACGAATGCCGTTTAGATTAGCGGGTGCACCATTTACGTTCAGAAGATTAATGTCGCTACTGCTCAGGGATCTAGATAATGTCGCAGTGTATGGCGACGATGTAGTTGTATACAGCCAGACAGAAACAGATCATGTCAAGCATGTAGAAGCGGTCTTAAAGCGAATTGAAGAATTTGGACTTCGAATTAATAAGGACAAGTCACAGATGGCGAAAAGTAGTATCACGTTGTTGGGGCATAAAGTGGGAAATGGAGAAGTAAAACCACTGCCGGAGAAAATTCTGACTATAAAGAACGTTGCAGTACCGAATTTGAAAAGAAAATTGAGACAGTTCCTGGGAAGGGCGGCATTCTACAGTCGGTTCATCAAGAATTTCAACGAAAAAGCAGCACCTCTTTATAAGTTGTTGAGTAAAACTAAATTTTCGTGGACTGAAACCGCCCAACAAACGTTTAATCAAATCAAAAACATGCTGGACGACCGCCAGATGACGCTCAGACTGCCCGAACTCGAGAAACCGTTTACAGTGACCGCTGATGCAAGTGACCATGGTATAGGTGCCGTTTTGAGTCAGTCCGACAGAGTGTTGGAATACGCAAGTCGCGTGCTCACGTCTGCCGAACAGAAGTATTCAACGATTGAAAAGGAGTGTTTAGCGATTGTGTGGGCAGTAGACAAGTGGAGACCATATCTGTTAGGTAGACGATTTCACATCGAGACTGACCATAAACCTCTGCAGTGGCTACAAACAGCACGAGACCCTCGTGGGAAGTTGGCGCGATGGATGATACGTCTGCAGAAGTATGACTTCAGTATCGGGCATGTTCCAGGGAAGGAAAATGTAATGGCGAACTACCTGTCAAGATCAGACATGGAAGCCGAGCCTCCATTGACAGCATACGCAGTGAACAGTATAGAGGGAGACCCACTAGAGCTCGTCCGGCAACAGAAATCTGATCCTAAACTTCGAGAGGTAATCAGAGTGATAAGAGAGGGGGCAGATGTTGACAAACGAGCAATGGACAAGGAGGGAATAATGTTACTTCGGCAAAAGGAAAGACTGAGAGTGAACACATATGAAGCTCTAGTCTGTCACGATGATGACAAAAATTAGGTGGCTGTGATCCCGAAAGACTGGCGGCGTAAGATGATACACGAATGCCATCAGATAGCGCACACAGGTATCGCAAGAACGATGGATTTACTACGGCGAAGTGCGTACTGCCCAGGCATGAGAGACGATGTGGCCCAATATGTGTTGACGTGCCAGCAGTGCCAACTAATGAAAAGCGATAGATACTTGCAACCGCCATTGCAGTGAGTCCCAGTAACCGCAGTCGATGATCTATGGTCGGTAGATGTGATGGGACCATTTCCACACACGGATAGCGGCAACCGATACTTACTAGTAATGACGGAACATGCTTCACGATGGGTCGACGCTGTACCGATTGCAGACCAGCAGGTGAAAACAGTGACTGAAGTAATAATCCGGCACACTGTAGCAGGTCATTGAGTACCGAAGATGATACTAACCGACCAGGGTCCCTGTTTTGAAAGTGACGAGTTTAGGGCCCGTTTAAAGCAGTTCGGCATCAAGAGGATACGAACTACACCGTATCACCCTCAGACGAATGGGCTTACGGAAAGAAACAACCGGACATTAAAGGAATGGTTAGCATCTAAAGGAGGAAATTGGGAGAAAGAGTTACCACTAATTTTGTTGGTGCATCGTGTCTCTATACAAGGAACAACCAAGAAATCACCTTTCCTACTTATGTATGGTAGACAGCCCCGACTTCCGATGCATAATAAGACGTGATCACAGCAGCAGAAGTGGACAGCAACAAGATTAAGGAAAGAGAGGACGGAGGCAATAAAGAAGGTGAAAAAGAAACAAATATCAGACATCAAGAAGGCGGAACAGCAGAGAAGAGCGTGAAAGCCTTTTAGAGTGAGGGACCTGGTAAAGTGTAGAGAACAGACAGCTAACACTGAAGGGGACCAGGGTCGGGAAAGCTGATCCCGAAATGGGAGGGACGCGGCTCAGTTTACACGATCCGGAGAGAAGACAAGCAGAAGCGTGTAAATGCCAGTCAACTACAAAAATGGTTTCAAGAACATCATGAGCACGAGTCACGAACAGCCCCAAAGGAGACGATGGTGCGGCGATCAGAAAGATTGCGAGAACGGCTTATTAAAAGGGGGGACGAGTATGGTGTGAGCTACTTATATCTACATAAGTAGCATATATGGTGAGTAAAGAATAGAATATCTGACAGCAGAAGATTGAGAAGATCAAGAAGAGAAGAACAGAAATAAAAAGCTATTTGTGTGGAAATCCAGGAACAATGAAGCCTGAGGCAATTGAAGAACATTTTACAAATAGTGTATCATAGCATGGTTTTTGTATTTTACCAAGTAACGTTGTAATTTGTGCTAAATACATAGTTGGTTATCCTCACCTGTGTTCTCATTCACAACATAAGAAAGAGGCTCTGATGAAAATTTTAAAATTCAGTGTGTTTCACTGTTGACTCAATTGTGGAGAAGAATATACCATGATCATATGAAAACAATGAATTTGGGAGGTATTAAAGTGGACATGAGAATCTGTACTGTCTGACATCAATAAGATTCCAGCCATGAAGTATATACTACTAAATATTCAGTGGCATATTCATGTATTTATCAGCAAACCGTAATTTTCTTTTCGTCGAAATCATTTACTTTACCTATACATCCGTATTTATAGTTGTATGATAAATATCTGTCTATAGAAGGATAGAAAAGAATACATCATAAAGTGATTTGAGACTTTAATTATCTTTTAAATAAATTATATATTTGTAATATCCCAATGAGTAGAAAAATTAGATTTTCTGACGTATCGTGACTCAGTGTAAGCCACTTCTTCAAAGAATAAATAATGATTATTTATTCTCTGAAGAAGTGGCTTACACTGAATCACGAAACGTCAGAAAATCTAATTTTTCTACTCATTGGGATATTACAAATATATAATTTATTTATAACAATCTACCCAATGCTCAATTTATTCAAAATTATCAAATCAAGTCTTGGTAATGATACCTACAAATTTAATTATCTTTATTCAATGACACGATAGGTTATTTTAATTAAACCCTAATTTTTCAGATATTCATTTGTCGGCTATTATTTTGTTTTTAAATTTTAGCCTTAAATTCATAGAAACTAATATGCTAATTATTAAAACAATAATCTTAGAGTGACTTAAACAACAAATTTGTCAGTACAAAGATAAATGTTATGTCTAGAGCTTAGATTCTTGATATACTGTTTAAAACTTGAGCACTCGAACTCTATAAGCCTCCAAGTCCCAAATGAGAAGACACAAGACATGTGAAAGAAATTCTATTCTAAGCATCGTCAAATATGGTGCAAAACTCTCAGGTATTTATAGTTTTTAGTAAAAATGAAATCATTTTAGTAGTCATCCAATCTATATACAGGGGATTTTTAGCATTTACCTAATAAAAAAACTACATGTAGATATTCTGAAATACTTTTTCCAAAAGATGATTTGACGGAATCTCTTCGGCTCTTTCTGAGCTTCTTAAAGCTTCCTCGAGTTCACCTGTGGGCCGTCCTCACAATAAATCATAATGTATGATTTATTATTTAAAACTAATTATCATATTACTTTCATTTCATATTTTTCATCGCTTCAACTTAATAAACGACTTAAATCACTAACCGTGTATTATTTAAGATTAGTTCGACAATAGAGTAGCTCGGAATTTAATAACCAATTTTTCTTACCTTTAATAATTGTTCAGCTGTTTCACAACCAATATTGTAGTTTCTTGTTAACTCATCACCATAGTTTAAATCATTCGTATTATTTGAATTTTTATTATCGTTAGTATTAGATTGTGAAAAAGGTTCGGTACCTAATAATTGATTATCTGGATTAATGCATATTTCAACCATTCGGTATATCGCCATTTCTGAGTATTCAGGATCTTTTCGGCATCGATTGAAATAACTCAAAGCAACAGATAACTCACTTGTGTAACTGGAAATAATAAGTTGAGAAGACACGATTACGAATTATAAATCTAATTAAACATAATATATTACTAGATAATAGTTGGAATAATTTTCACTAAACTATGAGGAAGCATTCAAAATGAAAAATTGATCATGATTCAATGAATTTTCTACTAAATTTACTAACGTTAATTTTGGACATCAATCATCTGTAATGTCTATACTACTAACACATGAACATGAACAAGAATAAACCACGATCTTGTTATAAAGATGTAGTTCTGGTGATTATAAGATATAAAAAATCTTCAATATATCGTACAACAATTCTATTGTGCACCAACTGGAAATCAGTAAGTAAAGAACCTAATTAATATCTGCGTCTTCACATATTGATTAGTTCTACTTACTAAAAGATAAGATTACTTGAATTTTAGCTTTAATAGATAACAAACGGGTTACCATATTCTCTTAGGAACTAATAAATTTATATATTGCGTTCAAGGGGTGTCAATATGGTTAATTCTTTGATAAACAAAACAGACCATGTTGAGTGTGAGGCAGATATTCATCACTAAGACTGGTAATGATTAAGTAGTATTATCAGTTGATTGAGGTTAAACATGTAAACTACTGAATGGATGATGGGCCAGTAATCCAAATAATAGTCGCTTGCCACGAGACCGGAGATACCGGGTTTTATCTTCTGTATTGAGGGTCGTTGATACCCACCACTGATCAGTCTCATATTCGAACAAAATAGCTGACCCATAATCTCTGACTTTCAATGGTTGTTCGACCGATACCATTGCATGGTACAAAAAGTAATTCGTGCATTTCAAAAGTGAATTTTTAACGTGAATTGATTTAACAAGATACCACTTAGAGTTTATTATAAGTAGTTATAGCTCAGAGTATGAAAAGACTGAAATCTTACTTTCATTTATATCGTTCACAGTATTAAAACATATTTAATGCAATACGCCGACTCAAAAAAACATATTTTCAACAGACGTGACTTTTATCCAATAAAAATTCATCTATTTCTCAAATATGTGTAGCGTTTGTAGAAATTTGTATAAGATGACATTAGATTATCAAAGTCAATTATTAAGAATTTATATTTTACGTACTGAACTAAGTTGAAGGTTAGACTGGATTACACAATATAACATAAAAGAACATTAAGCGAATTAATTGCTGGACAGTATTTTGGAATATTCTGTGACTTTTACAAATACATTAGTTGCACAGAGATAATTGTGATTTATGGTCATACGGGTTTCTATTTAAAGGATGCGTTAAACTGTAGCTTATAGGACGCTTAACACGTAACTTTTTAAAATGGACTTATTGCTTAATAGTATTACCAGGAACTAGTGGATGATCTAGTGTTCAGAGTGACATAATGTATGCCTTTTATAATAATTAAGAAATATTTGATACAGTGTATTTTACTCACAAATGATAAATTCCATAACAGTAGTTCAGACCACATGAAACTTCAGGTTGAGAATCATATGATTTAGCTTTTTGTAAATATTCTGGAATACGTGACAATAAACCACATCTCCTATAAGTATCAATCAAACTTGAAAGAGCTTCATAATGACCTAAATCACAAATAAATTTAATAAACAAATGGTTTGGGATTTCAAACGGATTAATTTTAGTTGAATAAATACATAGATATTACATATACTTCAATATTATACTACTAATTGTTCACAGTAAGTAGTATTTCACTCCTAAATTCTGTTGCTGTACACTTTAAAGCATTTTCGAGTCTATACATTGACGAGATGACTTATGAATATTCCATTGAAGTCTCATATTAGTAATGAAAATATAATGATTAGAGAACTTGTTTTCTTTAGTATGTGCTTCAACTAATTTAGATTCACAGTCTGAAAGCAATTATCGTCATACTATTGATTATCACTAAAGTAAATATTTTTCAAATATTTATATCATAACATATTATAATCCAAATGAAGTTATTAGCAAATACATGTGCTAGATTAAATAATTAGGGATAATAAATTATGTTCTATATCCTAACACATTTAAGATATCAGAAAGTATCTATAATTGTTTATAGTTTTACCTCAATCACGACTTCTAAGGAAATGTATTACAACAATGAATGTTCCAAAGAATCAATGGTTTATTGACTTACCAATACTGATGAATCTTCACTAATGACAATAGATATTGCAGTAAATCAGTCAAACTTTAACAACTCTGTTACGTTAGGATTTTATAAGTGTTTATGATTCATAGGTATAAAAAAGAATAACGGTAATGTACGATGTTTATAAGAAAAGACTATATTATAGTTATGAACTTTAATGTATACTATAATGATATTCGGTCTGAAGATATATTTTACAATTTAACCTTACTAGGATGATGTTGCTGTTTCATCTAAACTTGAAACTATTAAGAATTGTAACTTCTTAGAATAGTAAACCGATAATTACATGGTACTGTTGCAGTGTAGGTTACTTATATCCACATAAGTAGTATATTATGATGGTCAGGCATAGAACGCATTTCAGCAGAATATTGATAAGGAAAGAACGGAAAGGAATGCGATTGATATGAAAATGCATGAACAATGAAATCAGAGACGATGGACTGATATTTGCAAAAGGAATTGTAAAGATTGAAACAATCGATTAATTTATTGCAAATTAACTGTTTACTGTATAGTTGTCAGACTTTAGTGAGATATTCTATAATTTCGTGCTCAAATTATTATTTATTTATTCATTTGAACACATAAATATTGATACAAAGAGTCACCAGATATATATGCGCCACACAAATCTCATTTGATTTGTGTGAGGGCTGTGATACTGTCTAGGTGCCAATTCCGAAGCAGGTGGTTTACTTAGGGGACTACAACCGGAGCCTTCGACCTAAAGGTCTGATCCCCAAGACAGTGGAGCATCGTAAGGAGATGCAGTCCCATGGTAGCCGGTTACCAAACGATTGATTCATACACCATTTGTTCCTCCAGGATACTGAAGCCCATGTGCACCATTGGTTTGGAATCAGGGTTTTCTAACTCTCCTAGGTAAACTTTCCGTGTCCACCAACCCGGTTACAGCACCGGACGTTCGCTTTTTGTCCTATCAGTTTCGTGAAAAACACCCCCACTACGAGAAGGCAGTGAGTAGGACTTCCCTGACAGAGGCTATAAACGCGTGGTCATGTGAGAGCATTTTGAGAGGGAGTGTGGACTCTTCACACTCATGGCCGTACTAAGGCGTTTGAGGGCTCAAATACATTTGATTGTTCCCACTCGTGTTCATGTTTACTACACTGTAACAAAAAAACTTTTCATCTTCAAAAGATTAAATCAATTTTTTTAAAATTAATGGAACATTATGACATCATTGTGTATCTTTCATGATTCATTATCATTAACATGAACTATGTTTTCATATTCATTTTAATATAATCTACCTATAAAAATTTATAACTTACATGGATTTCTATGTAATACATATTCTAAATGTTTATTTGCTATTTCAAAATCTCCTTTCATTATCATTAATCTAGACATAAATATTTCAGACAAAGGTATATTAGGCATATAATTAGATAGAAGAATTTTTTGATTATTTTGTTGTTGTTGTTGTTGATCTTTTTGTTCTTCTTCTTTTTCTTTTAATGATTTAGAAGTAATTTTGACGAAATTCAAATTCTTATTGACATTTTTCATATTTTTATGAATAAAAATCGTTTCAATGATTTCCTTGAAATTGTTCAACAAAAAATAAGGAAGAAGAAAATACAACACATTTAGACAAGATTAATGATTAATTAGACTTGATTTATTTACAAATTATAATAAATGGTTAAATATAATAAAATGTGAAAAACATTTACAGATTGGTTCAGATTTTTAATGTTTAATTTTAAAGGTCGAATAGTTTTAATTCACTTTGTATTGTTTGTTTGAATATTCCCATTGATGTTTAGGACTGTAACTGGCCACTCTCTTATTGGCATATGTGTATACCGTGCGTATTGCGTCAATATAGCCTTAAGTCACAGGCGTTATAAACAATAATGGCTAGTGACTAGCAGTGGAATCCAGTTGAACGCACATTTCGTCCTATTTAGGGCTCGTCAAACAGATGTACCTACATCTCAAAGTTGATGTTTACTCTGTGACTTGAAATCAGTACCATTTGCTCAGTACCGCTGCTAGCTACTATTCATCTTTGTCGAATGGTTTTTTTGCAATAATGATACAGTGTATATCCACGATCCCGCCCCGCGAGATTCCAACCCAGGACCTACCTGTCTCGCGCCAGAGCACTTAACCGATAGACCAATGAGCCAGCCGGCATCCAATGGTGTTAATGTCTAACTTCAATTGATCCACGAAAACTGAGCAACCGTTCACCGACCTGGGTTCGAATCTCGCTAGGCGGGATCGTGGATGCGCACTGTTGAGGAGTCCCATAATAGGATGAAACGGCCGTCAAGCAATCCTTCCAGGTTTTCCATGGTGGTCTAGCTTCAATTGACTCATGATTTCAACTATGAAAATACTGAAATCTCCACAAAACCCCTCCTGATCAATAATGATACACTTACGATGTAAACTGTTACTATGCTATATGTAAAGATATGAAAGATTGTAGTTTTCAAAAACATAAAAAATAATCAAATGATTACGAATACTTATAAAAGTAGTATACAAATTGAATCCATATTAGCTCTGTATACTAGATAGCTATTTTGATAGTATGAGTTCAAATTAATCAGAGATTTTTAATACAAAAATTCAGTTAACAATGTTGATTGCATTTTATTTTTTAAACCATTTAAAATTTAGCTAACTCATTTAGCAGATATAAAGAACAACAATTAAATTAGTTACCATTATAAATCTTATTTGTTTACATTGCAATGGTTTGGGCACGTGTAAAATTGAATAGTTAAATCTATAGGTAGGTAGGTAGGTACATCCATCTGATGAGTCCTAAATAGCATGAAACGCGCGTTCAACTGGATACCACTGTTAGCCATTATCCATCTTTACTTATAATGCTTAAGAATTAAGGCTATATCGAGGCAATACGCACAGTATATACATATGCCAATTAGAGACTGATCAATTACAGTCCTAAACATTAATAAGAAGATCTAAACAAACAATACCAAGTGAAATAAACTTATATATACGAAATATAACTATAATCTAATTGTAAACTTTCTGCAGAGATATGAGAAATGAGATATAAACCACATCATAGTAAAAGTAACATCTCTCCCTTTTCTCTAGGGTAGAATTTCAATATTTACGAAACTTTATCTAATTTAGAAAGTATGTAAACGTATATAACCTAAGGAATATAAACTAATGTTGTTTTTAGTATTACTCTTTTTTAAACTGCTTTGATTCACATAATTCATACAACTATGCTCAAAATAAAAAAGACATTGAACAAAAATACTTTTGTATGTGTTTGTTTTAATTAAACTTTACATTTTCTTTTAAAAAAGTAAAAAAAGGAAATCACAGTATGATGATGGAATAAATGAATTGTTAGTTGTGCTTCAAAGTTTCTGTCTAACTTAATTAGGTAAAGGTAGGTTAATATCGAATAGATCCATGTAGAAATCCCCTGAATACTTCTAGTTAACTATACTATTTCTTAATTTTTCATTTTTTTGTAAAAAAAAAAGAAACTCGAATTTTTGTTAGGCATTGAATGTTTTTTTTAGAATTTAATTAAAGTCTGTCATTTAGTAATGTTACATGGGATTTGATTAATTAATTTTAAGATAAGTATATTGAAAGACATACAAACTGTTCAAACGATGTCTGAAAATTTCTATACAATTTTCTTTATGTTATTATTTAACAACTTGAACAAATATAAATTTAAATGGTTCAAAGCTAAATTTGTTTTAACTGTCTATATCACACAGTCTTCTCGGCTTGTTAAAGTTATCTGAAAGCAAACTGAGAATATAAATGCTTTTGTTTAAGACAATACGTAACACAAATCCAACTCATATAAGACAATCTCTTGATACAACTTTAATTATATAGATTCGGGTATGCAGAAATATTTCTTACTGGACATGTTCTAGTTAAACACGAATAAATGTAAATGTTGCTATGTCGAAAATAAACAACAAATTATTTAGAAGTGTTTTTGTGGATATTATGGTAATTTTAATAGTTGAGATCATGAATCAATTAAAGCTAGATCACCATCAAAAACCTGAAAGCACTGGATGGCCGTTTCGTTCTATTGTGGGACTCCTCAGCGGTGCGTATCCAGATTCGAACCCGTCCAGTGCTTCCAGGTTTTCCATGGTTATCTAGCTTCATTTGATTCATGATATCAACTATTTAAATTATTTAGAAACAATTTATGTAATATGGTTATTCATATATAGATCGTTTGGTTTAACAGATAACAGTATATAAATTTAATTTTCAAACTTCATACAAATAGACGGAAGTAAGTCAATTTAATTGAAACATAATAAATATAACTACATGACGTAATAAACAAAGTCTTTCATTAACTGTTCCAAGTAGTTTACAACAAAGAACTGTTTATTAATGTCGAGATAACTACCTAGTTGGTATTTCAATTAAAAGACAGATACTACGATCTATTGTGCTCGACATTTTTAAGTTACAAATACAGTTCATAGAATGGTATACACCTTGAAATGATTCTACACTCCACACAGCAAATTATAAAATTCAGCTCATAATTATATTAATTTAAAATTGGAATGTTAATGAATTTCATATATCATAGTTAGAAAATAATTGTAACACGAAAATTCAATGATTTAGGCGTTTTAAAACATCCTTTAAAGATCCTAGATCATATAACCAATATAACATGAACACATAATCTTATTAGACGGAGAAAATAGTGTTGAATATTATCTATCTACATAACTGTTGAATGAGTAAAATCACATTCCATTACTAAGTATAGATTTATGAGCTCAGCTTTAAATCATACGTTCAATTCATAAGATCCAGTAAGAGACTTTATAAATATGGGAAAATCAAATCAACTAATATTTATGATATTACCTTGATCTTTTACACTTCTTTCCAATCCTTTCCTAACATCCTCTTACCCTTTTTTAATGTATATATCATACGTATTAGTATTTTTCTTTGGAACAATCCAACAAAAAAATGAATTTTTTCTTTTCCATTTCTATATTTTGCATACTAATGAAGTATTTGTTTCATTCACCCACTTTCATTTACTGAATACCTTCATTTTCTATCCTTCTTAGTTCAACTTATCCTCATATGATTGTTTTATTTTTACTTTAACCATATTATTTTTAATGTGTTTTTAGTACTATGTGCCTACTAAAGGAATTCATTCTGACAGATAAGCTAAAGAATGGTAATAGGTTGAAAAAGAAGTTAATGGAAAATGGGAATCAACATTTATATATGTACGTACGTGGAAAGTATGCACTATTCCTAATATAACTGATATGACAAGAAAAAGATATATATATATATATATATATTGAATATTTCCTATCTTCAATTGAATGTCACAAATTGTACTTTTTCGCACCAATTTAATATATATATATATATATATATATATACAAGGATAAGGAATTTATACAAAAGAGAAAATCTGAATAAACAAAACAAAAAGGTATCTTTATTATTTTTCTTTCTTTTTTTCATTTTTTTTACCTGTAACTGTGATAATTTTAATATTTCTTGTTCACAATTTACATAATCCATTGTATACATATATAAATTGATTAATTGAACAATAGATTTAGCTTGAATATTTATAACTGATAGTTTTATATGATTTAATTGAATTTCATTTAATGAATTAGTAACATTTAAATTTGATTCACTTCCTTGTTGAATAGATGGTGATAGTTTTAGATCAATAATAGTGGATACATGTTTAATAGCATCTTCACAAAGATTTATAATGATAGTTAAATATTGTGATGAATTAGTGTTTGATGTATTCTTATTGGAACCAATCATTGTTTGAATGTGATCATCTTTAAAACGATTTGGATTGAAATAATCACCGTATTGAGATTGAATATCTAAGAAATATACTGATGCTAATTGTAGTAGAATCCTAGAATATTAATAAAGAGTAAACAGTTTTGTTGGTTAAACATTTGAAAAAGTTAATTTAGATATTTTGGCAAAGAATTGAAAAATAAAAACGTTTTTGCAATAAACGGGATCACTGAATCAAACTTCTTACTTTACAATGGACTAGTATTAACTGGTTGATGAAGTCGGCATTATTTATATTAGAATTTGAAGAAGACAAATATTAAGAATGATTGAATCGGAGAAATAAAGGGATCAGAAAACAGATACTGATAATTATTATGTGCTCATTAGTGACTAACTTTGATAGGTATTTCTCAAAGTTCCAGTGAAAAACCGTGACCAGTTAAGTTATAACGTATCGGCTGTGAGGCAGTTATCCACCGAAGACAATGAGAGATGGTCACGCATGATCGTGGATTGGCTCAATTTAGATATTGTCACCATTAAATGCGTGCTCAGTGATCTAGAGTTTGGGTTTTTGCGCTAGACGAAAATTCCTGGGTTGGAGTCCTTCGTGCTGGATCGTGAACAAGCACTACTGAGGAGTTTACTACTACACAAAACGATCGTCCAGTGTTTCAAGGTTTCCAATGGTAATCTAACACTAATCGATTCATGATCTCAATTGATGCTGAAGAATATGACAATTATTTATTAACGTACTTTTTTTCTATTTATATAAAAATGAAAACAAATTGGGGGGATGATGAGCAGAACGGAGAATATAATATCTATAAGTTTCAATCATCTTAAGTCTAATAAAATTTAGTTGAAGGTTGTACGATTATGTATACACTTCATATCAGTAACTAATTGACTGATTTTCTAGTATTATGTCAAATTGGTTAGAATACTATCAATGTAGGGTCGTGGAGATTATTGAACTTCATTGAAATCATGAACCGATTTAAGTCGCGCCATCATCGAAAACTTGGAAGCGCTGAACGACAGTTTCGCCCTAGTACGAGAATCCCCCATCAATCGGCATCCGTTATCCTACAAACGGCAATCGAACTGAGTTTACAATCTTTTTTGGTTTCTTTGTGTTGGCTCATTATTAAAGTACGTTTTAGACACATCTGGAAATTTCTATTTTATGGACTACCTGATAGTAGTACCTATTCTTTGAATTCAGATTATCTTCCACTACCACACCTAGTAAACTTTTAGAAATATTTCTTACGCTGCGTTAATTTAATAAGCATTTGCTTTTAAAAAGTAAGCCAATGATCCTCTTTCACAATATTATCTAGGTGATAACAATGAATTCATGGTATTCTCTGTTACCTATCTATTTTACATAGCAACATTTCAGTGACAGAATAGATATGTATAATCACTCCCATTCTACATCCATACAAAATAAGTTTTCTCGCGTAATTTACACTGATAATGTACTTTCAGTCGGTCAGTTAACTATTTATCCAACGCCTAATATCAATAGATATTAATTGGACAACTATCAGAGTAACAGCCTTGATTTAGTAATTTGTACTCTACATAACACTGGTTCAAATATTAGTGTAGCAAACCTGCTCTTTAAGCATTAAACACCTCTTTCAAGTAACTGAATCAATCATATTTAGTTATCAAGTTCTTTTCTTTAGTTTTTAGCTATTCGTTTAAGCTATTTTGGTGAAATCGATTTAAACAAAAAACTGTATTCCTACTATTCAAATATCACAATGTTAGTAAAGTAGTTAAGTGGCAAATATTTAAAAGTAAAGCATTTGAAAGAATTTTAGCAAAATGCTTACATAATACGAAAGTCAGTAAGATTATAATCAACTTACTCTGACAAATTAATTTTTTGCTCATTCACCACATCTTCAACCTCACTAGTTTGTATACGTTTAAGTAGTCTTGTTTGAATTGATTTTAGACTATTCAAAGAATTAATTCGTTCATGAAGTTTATCATCTTCAATTGTTTGTAGTTTGATTAATAATTTTAATGCATGACATAGTTCTTGTAATTCATTTATATCAGAGGCTTTTCAAAGAATTATCATATTATAAAAACAATAGGTAAAAGGTGTTAGTGATTATTATTGATAAATTAAATAAATGAATTTAACTATAGTGTAAATAATATAGTAGGAATTGAAGTAGAAGGAATAGTAGGAATTGAAGAAGGGGATTAATTGTGAATACAGTGATCTTGAGTGATGTTAGAGGTATGAGGGGGATTATCACTTTCCGGTTGCCCACACCGTGGAAGGGTTCTTCTAGAGGTACCTGAAAAGGAAATTGGGTTAGAAGTGGTCTTAATGACCTGAGAGCGTGACCGCAGTGCCCAAGGGACAACTGCTTGAGGTCGGTCACACACGACCTTTTTGTGGGTAGTTTTTGTGTCAGCTCCGTACTTGTTGGGATCTTACCGCCGGAGACGGAAATCCGTGTGATAAGGCGAGGTGTGCATTTTTAGAGCCGACCTTTTCTAACCCCACCCCTCCTTGTGAGAAGGTAGCATTGCTGTTATACTGGTTGTCTGAAGGAAACACCTTACTCCTGTCACACCTCTGTACAGTCGGCAGTACGACTTCGCCTTCGGACATTGGGTTTGCCGCTTTTAGTCTTACCGCTCTTCAACCGACCTGTCTGGCGTGATAGGACCTTGATGAACGATTGTTCCAGCCAGCATAGTTCGATTGGTTCATCACGATAGGCAAACTCGACCACCACGTCAAGGTAGTAGCAACGATCGGGGTAAATAATACAGAGAAAGAACGAATACATTTTTATGTGTTATTTCATGGTTATATTTAATTTATATTTCAATAGAACAGGGAAGGATACAAGATAAAGTAGATTCCATGACATTGGATTACCTTGTGCAAAATTCTAGTTATTAGAAGATATTTTTCAGTATAAACTGATATCGACCGGTAAATCATTCGAAACCAATATCTGATTCTTCCTAATTTGTCAGTCTCATTAAGTCTTCACCAGGACCACTATATGGAATTAAACCCAATATGTTTGAGTTTCAAACTAAAGCCGAACACTTTTAAGATTTTTTCAAAATCTGATTTTATCCAAGTGTAATGGAAAATCATTCTATTAAACATCAGAATTTAGATAACCATTGTTCCGCTGTACTATTTAAACTTGAATTAATTTTAATTTGGTTATTTTTTCTCTGAAGAATTGGCTTACACTGAGTCACAAAACGTCAGAAAATTAATTTTTCTCTACTCATTGGGATATTACAAATATATTATTTTATTTATAACCATTATAATTATTAGCAAAATTGTCATTTTAAAATATGATTGAAGTACAACTAAATCTGCACAAACGATATTGATTTCAAAATAGACCACCTAAAGCTTTCAAAAATCTATCTTCACTTATCCGATGAACCTTGTCTTGTTCATATTTGCTTAGTTAAGAATAACCGCTCTTAAAACTACGTGGAAAGTTACTAACTTTTGGTGTGATCGATATACAATGGCATATATCCAATTATTACTGGTATTGTTAAAACAGTAAGGATCGTCGTGATCAATAATGGTCGAAAACATATCGAGAACACAATGCATCAATTTGTATGTGTCTGGCGACGATTTTAGAGAGATTACAGGAAGCTAAAATAACTGAATTACATCTTAAACTTTGACATATATCTATGAAAGATTTAGGCCGAAATAACTGTACAAATCTGCTTATCATGTTTTAGTCTCTATTTAAAATCATTATGTTATGTAAGGTGAAATGCAAGTTATTTGGTCATAATATTTCACTATCAGTTCATTTTTAAGATGTGCCAAGAGTAAAAGATTAAAATAAATGATAGATATCACATTTCTCATGGTTTTTGAGAGATTTTCAAGGTCAACGCCGTATAGTTACAAATAAACATGACCATTATTATGAACAAGGCAATACAAAATACTCTTAAAGAAGTATGGTGTGTGCTGATGATGTCGATAGATATAAGTAGTATGTATCATCAATCGAAAGTAAAATGCCAGGAGGCACAAGGTCAAGAATATCAAAAAAAAGAGAACGAGAACAAAGAATGTTCAGTGTGGAAATGAAGAAACAATGAAGCCTGAGACGATTATTGACATTTTGCAAATGAAATACTGTATGATTCTTAGATTTTACCAAGATGTTGTGTAATTTTGTGTCCAAATACATTCGATTGCCGCCACTTGTGTTCTCGTTCACTACATAAGCATATGCATTTGTTGCCTTTAAATGACAGCTGGTCATGATACACGTTAAATGCAATTTACTTGTTGTTTCATCTTACGTATAGTTTTAGTCATTTATAAACGTAACTATCTATAGATTCTTCGCTTATTGTTAACTTCTTATGAGACTAGTTATTGTAATCTTCTCATTAGGAAAAGAGTTAGTCATGGTCAAAATAGCTTAATGGTTAAGTCTCTGACTGTGACCTTTGGAAAAATGTTACTCCTTTAAAAGTTGCTGATAATTCCTCCCACCATGAATCTCCCGTTAACGATCAACTAGGTTTAACTGCAGATAGATAGAGTTAAATACCAATTAGCAAATATATGAACAAGTCATAATCTCTATCTTAATCAAATTTTAATTATTTATGAAAAAATAAACAATACATATATTATAATTTATAATAACTTTCAATTCATCTTACCAGACTCCATAATTTCATTAGTTAACATAGAATGAAGTAAACGTTTAGCTTTTTTATATTGTTTCATATTGATAAGTAAATCAGCTAAATCTAATCTCAAACCATTTTGACCTGTTTTCACTGCAGTCTCATAATAAGATATAGCTTTAGCATAATGATGTAATTTTATAAATGCATGACCAATTTTACTGGCTAAACGTAAATCATTAGGATTTTTACGTAGAATGGATTCATAAATTTTAATTGCATTTTCAGGTTCTTGAATAGTCATATAGGCTTCAGCTAATAGAAAATAAGCTTCAGTTGTTTCTAATTTTTCAGCTAATTCTCTAATAAACAAAAGTATAAAAATGTTGATGAATATATTTTTTTCTCTGTTATATATTAAAATAAATTTCTATAATCTATGAACTTAACTACACCGAGAAATGGAGACTGTTATATCGTATGCGCCCGTAATATATATGAACGCCAATTTAGAGAGGAGTGAATTTATTGATCGGACGCAAATGATACTTGAAATTGTACGAGCAGTCTTGATTGCGTATCGGCCCTGCTATCTGCCTAGCCCAGCCAGTTGAGTCCAGAACACAAATAACAGCCTCAGTAGTATGAATCATCATTTACAAACACACTGGGTTTTTATACAAACCAAAGTAATCAATAAACTGATTATAACTCAAGAATCGTATGATCATAAATCAAAGATCAAAATAAAGCTCATGATAAGAGAAAACGAATATGAATAATTTAGTTACGTAACAACTGTACAATAAGAAATAGGCATAATGCATTGGTCGATAATAGACCTCAGATTTACGATTCATAATTCACCAGGGGATATAACACCTCCCCTTTTTGAGAAATCCGGAGTTGACATCCGGATTTTTAATTTCTCGAATTCATCCCCCCCCCCACGAAAGACTGTTGGATCCTCATGAACCCAAGTTACCATTATTGTGACATTATTTAAAACATATTCGTCGTATTTAACAGAAAATCCACCAGAACTGATTATATCGTGAGGATCGACGACATTCGATTTGAGGTCACCGGCGTCTGATTCTTTTGAAACACTTTCCTTGAATTTACTCGGAACCTCATTAGTAGATAATGAATCATTAGGATAATCAGTATCTATGAAATTTGTATTGGATTCTTGATTATCATTTAATGCATCCGATATTTTTCTCCCATTTTTATAAGAGATTTGAACTGGAACATATGAATCAGTAAAATAATCGGGATCTGGCAGAACAATTAGATAATTTTGATCATTAGATTCATTAGAAAAATTTTCCGTATCATGAATAATTTCATTTGGCGCCTCTGCATTCAATATACTGCTCGATTTGCTTCCCATTTCTTCGTGGGCGGGTACTGCAGCAATTTCATGAGCATTTGACATGGCATCATGTTGCTGAGAGCTGGGAGCATCACTGTTCGGACCTGCTAATTCAGGGATAGTGGTGTTTGAATCCACTACCGGGCACGTTTCTGAAACAGGCAGCACCGGACTACTGGGCTGATCATGTAGGACTGTTACTGCTGCATCTAAATTACTGTTTTTCGCGGATTCATAGAGGCTTTCCTCTGCATATTCATTTGTTCTGTAATCGACTTCCAGTTCTATACGCAATTTAGAAATCAATGCGTCAACTTCCGTTGCACCCCCAAAGCATGGGTGATTCAGCAGCGTCGCGTGTAACTTGTCAATGAAATCCAACTGACTCTTTTTAAAACGCTGCTCTTGTCTCTGAATTAGCAACTGAAATTGATCGGAAGTTAAAGCCATTTTTTTTTACCCTGTCGTCAGTTGTTATATCGTATGGGCCCGTAATTTATATGAACAAGCGATTAGAGAGGAGTGAATTTATTGATCGGACGCAAATGATACTTGAAATTGTACGAGCAGTCTTGATTGCGTATCGGCCCTGCTATCTGCCTAGCCCAGCCAGTTGAGTCCAGAACACAAATAACAGCCTCAGTAGTATGAATCATCATTTACAAACACACTGGGTTTTTATACAAACCAAAGTAATCAATAAACTGATTATAACTCAAGAATCGTATGATCATAAATCAAAGATCAAAATAAAGCTCATGATAAGAGAAAACGAATATGAATAATTTAGTTACGTAACAACTGTACAATAAGAAATAGGCATAATGCATTGGTCGATAATAGACCTCAGATTTACGATTCATAATTCACCAGGGGATATAACAGAGACAGACATGAGAAGAATGAACAAAAATTGGATAGAACTAGAAGGGAAGGCCCAGAACAGAGTGGGTTGGAGAATGCTGGTCGGAGGTCTATGCTCGATTAGGAGTAATAGACGTAAGTAAGTAAGTAAGTATGAACTTAACTCCATTTAGAACCGTTCCATAGATAAAAGAAAAAACAAAATTAACTTATCTTGTGTGTTTATATAATTTAATTGTTTCAATTAAATACCTTAACATTCGAAGTGTTTATTACTTTTCTGTATACATTACTAAATTACTTTTAAAAAAGGAATTCCATTGTCATTCTTTAATTATGTAGATAAATTAGAAAAAGAAGTACACTCGGTTACAGCTTTAGAAAATTTGTAATCTGTTAGAACGACGTAATTCGAGAAATGACTTTTAAAAAATTGATATTTAAAAATATAAATTAGTATAAAGGTCAACTTAACAGATATTGATAGTACACTATAGAAATCTCCATTCCCAAAACTCTAATTAAAGAAAAAAAATTTCTTCTCTTTATCAATATCAGAAAGAGGTTTTGTGGGGATTTTAGTAATTTTATTGTCGGAATCATGAGTTAATTGAATCTAAACCACCATGGAAAACCTGGAAGCACTGGACAACTGTTTCGTCTTGTTATGGGACTCCATGACAGTGCGCATCCACGATCCCGCCTCGCGAGATTCCAACCCAGGACCTATCAGTCGCGCTAGTGGGCGCTTAACCTCTAGAACCACTGAGTTGGCATCCAACGGTGTTAATGTCTAACTTCAAACAATCCATGAAATTGAGCAACCGTCCACCGTTGTTTTCTTCAGTGAGTTACCATGTCACAACGGACCCGGTTAAACTCCACTGGTCACTGCCTCTCACTAGAACTCCAAGAAATACCTCTTGGAGCTAGTCACAAAAATTGATTTTCGAAAATGTAGGATAAGGATATAAAAATATTTATATCAAATTAAAATTTATTGAGAACTATTAAGATCATTTTCTTAAATATTGCTCAGGATAGGTTTGGATGGAAAGTGCTGGTGGGTGGCCTATGCTCCCCCACGAGGAATAACAGGCTTATGTATGTAAGTAAGTTAGTAAGTTTTTTAAATATTTTGTATAATGATACCTTAGAGTAAATTATACCGTAATAAAAACTATATCATTTGTTAAATGAGTTTACGAGAATCAATGCAAATATGAGGATGAGATTTCCATTAATGACTGACAGAATTTGAAGAAAATCTAATTATAGGGAGTACTAAACCTCTAAGAGTTGCTCATAGGTCCGAAACTAGAACAAAACAACTGGTTAACGCCCTCCATGTTCTAGTAGTTCTTCCTAAAAATCATAATTTTTAAGAACCTCATTAAACCTTATTTTAAAAGGTTAGATGAAAATTCATAGTATTTTCTTCAATCAAATGGAGTTCAATTAATGGGAAAGCAACATGCATAAAGTTCAAAGCAACCGAATCATATAATACTATTCCTTTTTCTGTTTAGGCTTATAACAACTAACACAATGTTTGCCTTTCTAAAGTTTGATTATGTAACAAAAATCTACCGATTTACCATATTGGTAAATATTATTAACAATCTAATGATAATTTATAACATTATGAAAATTAGAAGTAAACGTGACCTCATATTATTTCTTTAGGGTGCTTAAAATTGTTTGACATAGTATGCAAACAATATCCATCTTTGTGTACGATCCCTACCTTGAATTTAGATTCCACAAGAATTGAGTGTAAAATCCCACTATCTATCACTGTTGATCTTTAAATAATGATAAACCGCAAAACGCAGAGCGATAAATCTTAACATCCGAATTTATCTAGCAAAAGTGATCCAAAATATTCTGAAAAACTCTTCATTTCAATCGGTTTTAGGTGTTTAGAGATAACCAGCAGAAAACTATGGACCTGGGTTTTGTGTCACTTGACATTTGTCAATGAAGCTTTCTTGGAGAAGCCGTAGATCTGTTCCCTGAGAGCCAAATTTCCCAGTCTGAGACTTTACAACTGGGCTACTGTCTACATACAATTAGTATTACGAAGAACGTAAATACGTAAGACATTCAGAAAAAAATTTAAAATCAGATACAAAACGGAACCCTGATTGTATTTCACAGTACCTGTAACAAGCAGTATATAATTTCTTCTCTTTTCTATGATATAAATAAATATTGGCCATATGTTGTCGTGCAGTTATATAGTATGGATGGTCAGCTTGAATTTGTCTCAAAGTATTCAGAGCTGTCTCGTGGTCATTTTGTGACAGAGCTAAGTTAGCCATAGCTATTGTAACTTGTGCAACGTCCACAGTGCCAGCAAATGTTAAATAAGCATCTTGCAAAACTTTTGTAGCTTCATGCTACAATCATTAGAAATGAAAAAAGAATTTCGGGACTCGGAATAACTAGTTTAAGATTTTAAAAGTGAAAATCTTGATATTATATTTTGACTCTTTTATTTGTAGTATACTGCAATTACGACTATGAAAATGTCTAATGCTCTTCAAAACTAAGCATGAAAAGTGCCAAATAAACTTCTAAAGGTACAAGAGTATACAAAACTGGCTAAAGTTGAGAGGTACCAGTTGAATGACTGGGTAAACTAAAAATCGGAGGGCTTTAGCGGAAGCGAATATGTGCATCAACCAAGAAAATGTAATATTTTCATTGTGAATTTTAGAAAAAACTGAATAGATTTGTCCCTAATGCATATAACGCAGAATATTTCACTAATGACTTTTTCAGACTGATGTATCAAAGGTGATCAATATAGAAACCTCTACATAGCTCAAACAGCAGTCATAAGTTAAAGTAACATTAACAAAGTAACAAAGTAACATTAACTGATCAACTCACAAAGTATCGTCGTCTAATTTCTATATAAGCCGGTGTCAAATCTCACTGTGGGTAGTAATTTGGTAACTACGTCATTTTATGACGGTTTCGATTATAAAACATTTTTTCGTGTTACAGTTTACCATAACATCTCAGAGTCTGTGAAATAGATCTTGAATGTCTACAAATACTTTATTTCGTTTAATAAACAACTGTTATGCAAACACTATACTACAAGTGGACTACAGATTTCAATCTTATCGATAGATGGATATTTTTAAAGACTGAGGTTGAGGATTTTACTTCCTAGTATTCGTGTCTCCAGATTCAGCGTAACTATTAAGATGTTGCATGGTCTCACATCATTTTACGAATAAATTGAAGTCAGAGGCGTGAACTACCGGATTTCAACTCCTGTAATAGGCTTCCCGAAAGACCTTGAAGTCCTGAGTAGTATCACTGTTAGAGATGTTCCAAACAAAGTCAAAACGGGTATTCACTACTCTTCTGATTTTCAGTAGTCCTCCATCTGAAATCAGTTTGTGACTTGAACTTCTTGATTGAGGTCATTTGAAGGTTAAACTGTTTTACTTTATTGCGTGAAAAATTATTTTGCATTGTATAAGTATTGGAAACTCTATAAAACATTAACAGAACTTTGACGATAATATTCAAGCCCTAAAATTTCTACAGTGTCTTCCTAAACAAGAATAATTTGAAGAAAATGCAGTGCCGATTTCAATAAAGTATTGTCTTTTCAAATAACAAAGCTTAATTCCAAGGATTCATAGGGAAACAAGTTGCTACTAAAAACAAAATCGGTTGGTAATATTCAAACAAAATCAAACATAAAGAGGAACTATCTCTTACAATAAACCGATGAAAAAATGGTGTTCAAATTTCAGTCCGAGAAAGTTATAAGACGTTTAAAGGAGGTATGAAAAGTTTATATTGTTTGGAGCCTATTTATTGGGACCACTGACACACTTAGACTGCAAATGTTTGCCCATAGGTGTCGTTGAGACATTGTTGTCTTATCGTGGAACGATTATGTGATCAATGTTGAGGTTAGGCATAAGGTGTAGCGCTTAAGGCACGTGTCACGTATATCTCGATGGTCTATTTTATTAAGTGTAGGAATGAGCTATAAAAAAGCTAAGGTATACTCTTGTCATCAGTTAATAAGGTCATTGACTATTTGTCTAGGAGGAATAAATATGTGAAGACTTCCTGATAACCACGATCTCTGGTTGGAGACATTGTATCGCACGACTCTGGATAGATAACAATGGTACTGATGCTTTCACTGTTTATCGTCACTAAATTATGACCAACGGTTGATGTCTTTCCATATTTTCCTTTAGAACCATTTTCTCAACTTTTGGTCTTTGTTATTGTCATTGCTACCAATTTATTTCAGATATTTTACTATCCATCTTGGTAATTTCATTTCTTCATGCTCCTGTTGCATGGCAACTTATGTCAACCACCGTTTGCTCAGGGTTTTATATTGTTAATTACTAAATGACTGACCAATGATAACAAAACACCATGTCAACCGAATCATACCGTATAAACTATGAAGAGAGTAAAATTAACTCGAAATTTGTCAGGCCTAACCATCTTTAACGTACTATATATTAAGAAAACAATAATCCTCTTACTTGTTCTCCTAAAGTTCTGTGTGCGTCAGCAAGTTCAATGTATAGTGAAAGTTTGTCCGATGGCATTATATCATTAAATGAATAATTAAAACAATTAGATTTTATTGATTGAGAATAATTTGAAAGATTTGCAATTGCTTGTTTTAATATTTGTACTGATATTTTAGCTGAACCTTGTTCACTCATTATACGTGCTCGTACAAGTTGATATAATGGATGATTGCGTATTTCGAAATTATTTCCAACACCAGTTTCCAAGGTTTGTTCAGCAGCTTTCAAATTTGACATATAAAGATGGATCTATGAAAATACAAATCGTTAACATAAATTAAATCAAATTAAAATATGTCTTTAAAAGTTATCTAACTTATAAATTTACAGCATTTATTTCGATAGTGGTTTATAAACAAGTTAGGACAGCTGACAGATGCATTTCCAGTAAGGACCGGAGTCAGACAAGGTTGTCTACTCTCCCCCTTCCTCTTTCTTCTGGTGATTGACTGGATTATGAAGACTTCGACATCGGAGGGGAAACACAGAATGCAATGGACATCTCAGAATCAATTAGATGATTTGGACTTCGCAGATGATTTAACCCTCCTATCTCATACACACGAACAAATGCTGACGAAAACAACAAATGTAGCAGCAGTCTCTGCATCAATAGGCCTCAACATACACAAAGGAAAAAGCAAGATTCTCAAATGCAAAACGGAGAACACCAACCCGATTACACTTGATGGTGAAACCCTGGAAGAGATGGAAACATTCAAGTACCTGGGAAGCATCGTTGATAAACAAGGAGGATCTGATGCAGATGTAAAGGCGAGGATTGGAAAAGCAAGGGCGGCATTTCTATAATTGAAGAACATATGGAACTCAAAACAACTGTCAACTAACTTCAAAGTGAGAATCTTCAATACCAACGTCGACACAGTCAGTCCTCCTGTACGTAGCTGAAACGTGGAGAACTACTGCATCCATCGTCAAGAAGGTACAAGCATTTATTAACAGTTGTCTACGCAAAATACTCAACATTCACTAGCCGGATACTATCAACAACAGCGTTTTATGGGAGAAGACAAACCAGCTTCCAGCTGGAGAGCAAATTAGGTAATGACATTGGAAGTGGATAAGACATACATTAGGGAAATCACCAAACTGCATCACGAGGCGAGCCATAACTTGGAATCCGGAAGGAAAGCAGAAAAGAGGAAGGCCAAAGAACACGTTACGCCGGGAAATAGAAGCAGATATCAAAAGGATGAATGTTAACTGGAAAGAACTGGAAATGATTGCCCAGGACAGGGTTGGATGGAGAATGCTGGTGAGTGGCCTATGCTCCTCGACGAGGGGTAACAGGCGTAAGTAACCAATTAAGTTATAAACAAGTTAAATGCAGAATAAAATCAATATATTACATCATCATTGCTTAACTAACTGACTTTACTAAATCATTTTATTGTTAGATTTCAAACAGCATGACAATTTTCACTTTCCAACAGCTATACCCTTTCATAAAAATGAAACTAAAGGAAATCCAGAAGATTGGAACATCGAATTCTCATTTACTTATCCAGTAAAATGTTTTTTTAAGTGATAAAATAACGAAAGTCATAATAATAGAGCAAAAAACTATCAAATCTGTATTTGTTAGTGAACTGTTTTTTCTCAAAAATCCATATTTGCTCAAGATGTTTCATGAAGAAAAGCAAGAGAATTAATAAGTGAGAAACCATCAGTAAAATGGCCTATAAAATGTAATAATGTTAAGTATTTTAGATGAATATTTTAAACATCAAAGAATGTTTGTGAGATTATTCCTACCATTATATAACCCGATTATTTCATGAAAAGCAATACTAATTACAGAAGTGTATGCTTGAATCCACATTACCTTATTGAATAAATTATTTGAGTTTTAAAGTCTATTTCTGAAACAGCAAAAATGATTCCATCGGAGCATTAACAGGTATATTATAATAATTATTTACGAAAATAATGCTTAAAAGTGTAGCTTTAATAATGAAAGACTAGTATCTAAAAATTACATGTTTCTTCTAACTGAATGTTAGGATAGAATAATCGTTTCTACTTACAGAGTAGACCGATAGGTGAGAAGGGATTTGAATAAAAAAAGGACTTGCATAGGAGAATAAAAAAATTAAACACAGTTCCATGACACTAATGTAGGAGAGAACTGTGGTAAGGACACTTCGTTATATAATAATGTCTTTATTGTCTGTCAAATAAATGGTATCACGAGATGTTCAGAAATAAGTGCATCACAACAAAATCATACGAAACGGTGTTCTAAATGATAGCAACAAATCGCTGTTCATACGCAGGCAATTTTAAAGTGATTGATCGAACGAGGTATCATTCAGAGGTTATACCAAGCAGTTAAAAGAATGTTCAATAAAGAGATAACACAACTTTACTCTGGACTTGGGTGTAAAAATGAGACTGGAAAAGTTTTTTAGACTACCTGCTTCTATTTGTATTTATTAACTTAACTGCCCTTATGAAACTAACTGGTCCTAGGAATTAACTTTTCTATACCCATGGATAATTTTTAAAATATCTAGGCAAAATTTTAGCTACAGTTCAAGTAACTCAATCCTAAATGTATTTACTTTAATCCTAGCTATTCACTATAATTACTTGATTCTTTATTGAAAATAATATTCTTTGTTAATGAATCTGTGTACCTTAATAAAATGAGCATTTACAAATAATACACGTCTTGTAAAAAAAATAAACAAGTTAGACTTTAAACAATAAACTTTAGTTACTGAAAACTTTGTATTAATCTTGAATGTTCAAAGTGGAATTACGAAAAATAGCCATCCCATTCTACATGTATACACAACACCTACGCAAATTGGCATCCATTATTACATATAACATATTACAGATGAGACATAATTTCGTCAGTACATATGTATATATTTCTCGATGCTTTTATTGTAAATATGTTGAATTCTCTCAGGTTCGGTTATGATTTATGTATACGACCATACATGGAAAAAAATAAATATACTACGAATATTTCGCCACGTCATAATTTCTTCCGATTATTAATTAGTAGACATTCAGATCAATAAATTTAATACCAAATAATTATTCGACTAATTACTATAGCTTATTACGTAAAACATTTCATCAATTATATAAAAGGATAATCTCCAAACTACTTGGCGAGCCAAGTAAGTTTATGGAATATGTTAAAATATATACCAAATTTGTAAAAGATTTAATATTTTTTGCCCGACATTAATCATAATACAAAATAATTTAATTAAAAGAAGGGGGTTTTGTGAAGATTTTAGTAATCTTATGTAGTTGAGATCATGAGTCAGTTGAAGCCAGACCACCATGGAAAACCTGGAAGCACTGGACGGTCGTTTCGTACTATTGTGGGACTCCTCAACAGTGAACACTTACGATTCTGTCTCGCGAGATTCGAACCCAGGACCTATCAGTCTCGCGCGCGAGCACTTAACCGATAGACCACTGAGCTGGCCGGTATTCAACGTTGTTAATGTCTTAAACTTATGTAAATGATAATATCTTCTTTTCTATGAAATGTAAATATTTATTATGATGACATTATAAAAATCAAATTGATGATCTATAAGAACGTTTATGAAATATTCATGTCTTTTTAAATATTTTTTTGTTATGATGAATTTTGAACCAGTTTGTCATGTAGATTGATATGTTAAGCCTATATAACTTACTATAGCTTCAAGACAATCCAATTTACCTGACCCTCATGAGTCACGTTTTGACCTTGTTAATTATTCACTTATCAACCCTGACTGTTTTTATATGAGCGTATGTGTGTGTACACTTCTCTTCCTATTCATCACATGTCTGTAACTTATTTTTTATCTGACTATAAATATCGGTTAACTCTTGGTTAAAGTGAATTAGCTTACCCGTCATCTCCAATGTGCGTCATTTTTGCTTCGCTCTCTTCTATTCGCTTCATCACTCTGATTTCCTGTCCAGATCAATGAGTGTACAAAATATATGTGTTTGAAATCCATTCTATTATCTGACCTATTTAATTCCGTTATTCACCAATGCGGTTTAAGTCATTTATTACATACGAGGATAGACAGGATATATATATTGACAACAATCATTCATATAATTTAAATCGGAGTCAGATCCTAACTCACCACAAAAATGATGAGCCGCATTTGGAACACACACCATTTCTCAACTAAAAGTTGTCATGGCGTTGTTTGTCCGTTTTTTTCAAACTGTACATATCACCCATATTATAAATCTACTTATGTAGAAGAATATTACAAACATAAATGAATGTATGAACACTATTATATATACTAAGTGGTAGAGAGTATACTATACTTTGAGAAATACTAAAATAGATATCTAGGGAAAATTTCTTAATGAAATTTCAAATATAAAAGCTTCTGTGTAATTTAGTCTGTTACTTAATATTGAATTTTATTTTTAAAATCTTTTTTTACTGTATTATTAATATCTAGTTTGTAGAGATTATAGAAGTTACATAGTTTTCATATCGCAACTTGACTACCGTTTAGAACCAGGGAGTAATGGACAGCTGGTTAGTCCTGGTATGGGACTCATCAGCTGTGCACATTCACGATTCCGCATCCAGGAATGGAAGCCGGAACATACTGTCAGGCCGGCAAACTCCCTTTATGTTTGTGAATGTAATTTTACCCAGAATGCTGCAAAAAATCGATTTCAAAAATACTTTTAACTAATTATATATATATATATATATATATTATTCGATTGAAGATCCTAATGTTAAAAAGATCATTAGAGTACTGTTTTGTTCAGCTTCCACCATTCATAAAAGTCCACATGCATACAAACATATGCAAACAGAATACAAAATCTTCAGGTTTTCTAGTGAACCAATCTAAAAGTATGGAAACAACAGAAATGAATTCGATGACTAACATTTCTAAATACTAATGGACAAGTAAAACAAGTACACAATGATAGGAGATTTGGAATTATACTGTCCGTTTGTTACACCCGGGATTTAATTACACTATTTTGAGATTATCACGAATAACAGAAAAGTTTCAACTAAGGCAGATACTTTTCATGTTGTTATGTTCTTTGAACTAGTTGGTTTAATTGTGAAGTTTTGACTATCATTCTGAGCAAATTTATCGGCGCTTACTTCTCATTTCTACATAAATTAAGTGCCTAAAACATATATGAATGCTCCAAAATCAAATCATCTAACTCACAGAACTCATTAACTCCCAAAGCTATCATACATC